TACTTTTGAATGTTTGAGTTTGTTCGTTACAAAGGAAAAAAAATATTTCACGTCGTAAAATAATTGTAGATATTACAGACGCTAGCATCCATATACAACAGTATTAATAACATACAGTAAGTCAAAAAAGTTAATTGGCATCACAGGGGGCCGAAGAGCTGGCAGCTTGTAAAATATTGAATAACACATAGGATAAATGTATAATACATATATAAAAAAATATATAATATATTATAGTAAACATACAGTAATGTGATCTCACCTTTACATTCTTGTTGGAAGCTTCGGCTTACCGCAATTGTAATTAGTTCGCATAATCTTGGCATTTGATATCTAACATAACTCGACCTGATATAAAATAACAATTATAATTTATAGATACTTTTTGTCATAGTTTTTTGTCTATTGTATTACATTGAATATGATTTATTTCTTTTTATTGTGATCCCAAAAGTTAATGGTCTTTTCCGCGATATGAGAATATAATTTCTAAAAAAATATTGTCGTTTAAAAAAAATTAAAATTGAAATTCATTGAAAGCCTGCCGTTATAAAGCCGTTAGATATGTTAAAAAAAATATCGTCTTTTTTTACGTTTTATAAGCTAGCGCTTGACCACGATCCCACCTGGTGAAGTGGAGATTTGGTCGAAAGATGGTACGCGCTAGCTTAGTAAGTATTTAGCATTTTTTTATTTTTCATTATTTTAGTCGAAAGTCAAATACAGTGTAGTTAGAACCACGGCGTCAAAAAAATCTAGTTACATGAGTGTGTTATCATAAATTACAAGTCCATAAACATTTTTGAGAAAAGTAGATTTTATACATTAATATTGAATACAACAGCTACGTACAATGTACACGCGTTATTGATCTTAAACGTGCTGCATATCCAATGGCGCAGTCTGCAGGTGTTGGCCAAAAGCCAAGAATCAGTTTCCCAAATTCTTTTAACAATTTTTTTATAAACATTGTTTAAATAATAACCAGCCAGTGAGTCTTTGTCTATAGACAAACTGTTATAAATTATTTACATACTGGAGATCTTTGTTGTTTCAAATTAGCTGTCGCCCGCGACTCCGTTAACACAATGTTCTACATCTCAGCCAAATTCCAGGGAGGTCCATGCAGCCGTTCTGGAGCTACCAAACATCCGTACATCCAAACAAATTCTCGTGTCACAATTTTCGTTCCCAAACTCCTCCAAAACGGCTTGACCGATTCTCATGAAATTTTGTGAGCATATTGAGTAGGTCTGAGAATCGGCTTCTATCTATTTTTAATCCCTCGCGGACGGAGTTGCGGGCGACAGCTAGTTTATTTATAAAATCAGTAAAGAATGGAGATAAATAATGTCTTTTATTATACGTATAAGTAATTTTTTATAAAAATATTAAGCCGTTGCAATATCATCAGCCATCCATATTAACACTATATTACCCTAGTATTATATACCAAAGAGAAATTCAAATAAGTTTCTTGGTTAGTTACTTATGTTTGGTAGACATGGGAATGTCGCTGCGCGTGAATTTACACACGTTTGTATAGCTTGGGCTCAGTGCCAGCTATAACTTTGTGCCTTCGTAACTCGCGGCAACAGTTTTACTGGCTCTGACATAAACTTTATCTACGTCTTCGAATTAATTTCGTCTCGGCAAAGCGATCTAAGTAAAAGTTACTAGCTGTCCGCGACTCCGCGCGGCATTACAAAATCTTAATTAGTAGCCTACGTGTTCTTCCAGACATTCTACATCTATGTCAAATTTCACGAAGATCCATGCAGCTGTTTTGGAGATATCTCCTAACAAATATCCGTTCATCCATCATCAGTTAGTAAGATATTTTTACTTAACTTTATAAAATCATTGTTTTGTGTGAAAACTAAAAAATGGTTAACATTTTGCACAATAAGCACTATGTATAATATCTATGTTTGTATTTGATTTCATTTTAATGTAATTGGATTTTTCTTATCCAACAATATTCAGTGTAAAATATGTATAAAAATTTCACGTAGGTAAGCAAAAGTTAACGTCGCATAAAATTTGACAAGGTCCCAATTAAAAATGTTTGTTCGAACGTAAGGTATTTTACAGCAAACGTTTTTGAATTTAAATTTTGTGTAAAATTCAATTATTTTAGTACAATTACCTGATAGGAATAGAATTTTTACGCAGCTGCCTCAATCTGCGTCAATAATCACCTCGAGTAGAGATTTAGAGATGCCTATGTGTTCTCCTAGACTATGTTCTACATCTATGCCAATTTTCAGCGAGATCGGTGTTGCCGTTCCGGAGATACCTTCAAACAAACATTAATCCATCTATCCATCTTAACATTTGTAATATTAGTAAGATTTGTTGAATGCTACTTTTATTTCTAAGCATTTTTACGTTGTCAAAGTTTTTATTCCATCTTAATGGTGACATTTGATACTATAGTTAAATAAACTTGAGCTTGAAAAAGAAAACTTTTTCACTTAGGTGTAAAAATAAATTTATCCTAAGGGACTAGATATCGTAAAGTGAAAGAAGTCGAAGTTTTCAAATAAAAAAGGGATAATATTATATACCTTGTAAAGTATCTTATTGCTTACTGTATATGTTTGTTATATTATATAATAAATAAGTATTTCTATTTCTCGTATAAATGGTATTTTTATTATATTACAAACTAGTAGCAGCCCGCGACTCTGTTCGCGCGTTAGCCTATCCTACCAGGCTATGTTCTACATCTATGCCAAATTTCAACAAGACACCCTTTCTAGAGATACTTTCCAACAAACATCCATCCATGTAATCTTTATTAGCTTTTATAATGTGAATGTGAATGTTTGGATGGATGTTTGTTACTACGTATCTCTTAAACGGATGAATGGCGTAGATGTAACTATTTAAGTTTTTTTTTAATTCCGAGCGGACTGAATCGCAGTCGAAAGTTAATATATATATATAGGCAAATGTGTGTATTTTATATTTACTTGTTCAAAATCTTATGGAATTTGAAACTTTAAAAGACCACTGAAAGCAATTCAAAATGTATATGTAAAGTTTCCAAACGGACCCTTTAATTGAGATGTAATAAATGTTGTTGAATGAAAAGATAAACTGTGAACAATGTAATTAACCGAGATTTTATAACAAAAAGTATTTTATTAAATACTCCGGTCTTGAGACAACAATAGCACCTTTTGTTCCGTCGTAAAATGATGCCAAGACAAGAAGTCTGCTGTCATGTTTTATTAAGGTCGCAAACTGCGCCATCTAGTGACATTCCAACAACACTCAAGACGAATCTTTTTAATTCGCATTTCAGTTACAAATTGCTACGGTGTTAGGAAAAATCTATTATGTTTTGAATTTTAGTCAAAGCCTGTGAGAAAGCTATTAAACTTTTTATGTTTACAATTTAAAAAAAACATAGTCATTATGAACTTTGGAACTTCAAAGACACCTTCGGACCATAAACGATATTTGGACCAAAAGTTTAAATTTAAAATTGGATTATTTCAATACTTTCGGCTACGATAAATACTTTTTATGGAAAGAAAAAATGGGTTGATCTAGAAAGTAATAGATGGTATGCAAAAAAAGTACATCAAGGAATGAGATGACGCTAGATCCACTTAGAGTTAAAAAACCAAATGCGCAGATAAAAAAATTGAATGCAGAAAGAACGTAAAAGTAAAACAATAAATTTAAAAACAGAACAAAATAAATGAGGCTGCAGCTGAAAACAAGTAGTTATAATTGGAGCATGTCAAATTTCCTGGTACGCGCAACATCGTAGCCGTAGTCGCCGTAGCACTGATAGTCGCAAATCCCTTGCATAGTAATTTATACTTTAAGAACATTGTTTTAAGGCAGAAAATACAAATGTTAAATTGGTCAGTTAACTTTTAGTTGAAACTATGATACAAATTTTGTTTTATAATTAACTATGCGAGCATTACACACTTTTCAAAACTCAGAAACTGAGAAAAATAAAATTTAGTCCTTAAAAAATATTTTTTTCCACAGATTTTGATCTCAGAAAACCTTTTTAATCTATGATAGAACAAAAAGGTAACAGAATTATTTTCAATTTAAAATACTTATATAATCTATAATTCAGTAAATTTTACCAAAATGTTATGCAGAATACTGATTAACCTTTAAAATATTTCAAGTATTTCAGTTTCAATTGTAACCGCGATTGCGTTTTTTAATCTATTCAATAGCATTTTCAAAACAAATCATAGCAAAAATCTCACGTTTTTTATTTTTTGTAAACGTAATATGGAAGAACGTAATATCTTTATGCGTAAATTGAGATATGAGGTAAAACTCCGCAAGATTTATACATGTACCGGAAGCATGTGTAATGCTTTTATATTTTAAAAAGCCAGCATCGGATTACGAACCTTCGTTACCATGAATATAGGACACCTTAATCACTTTATATTAAACGGGGGATTACACCAATCACCGGTACCGGATAATTCTTTATTCAAAAGTTTACGTGGATTTTAAAAAGGTTTTAATCCCTGAAAATATTTAATTTTACCATTTAATAATGCAATTTTCTTTTTTTTTATCAAAATGTTAAAGTCACCAACATGTTTTTTCGCGAACGGGTTCAAGACCATTACTGGGTTATTACAATGAAAAATGACGTCTCAAGTTTGCATAGATTCAATCGCTGTTTTCAATCTTTGATTCACTAGCTGTCGTCCGCGTCTCCGTCCGCGCGGCATTGAAAAATATTAGCCCATGTGTTTTTCCATGTGTTTTTATTCTATATATGTGCCTAATTTCATCTAGGTCTGTTCAGCCATTTTGGAGATACTTTGAAACAAACATCCATCCATTCAAACATTCGCATTTATAATAATATTAGATTGATTGGAAGCTATTGTATATCAAATATTCTTATATCAAATCGGAATAAAAATCGAATAGGTTTATTTATTTTTAATAAAAAAAATATACAATAAAATTGGCCGTTGGATTGATATATAAAAAAACATCGATATGTCGAAAACAAATTGTTTTAAAGTATAAAAATACTATAAATATTTTTAACTTATATTAACAGAATTTGTTTCTTCATTGTGTACATAAATGTAATCTTTATGGACAATAAGGCCAAATGAGCTAAAGAAAACGAACCATAAAAAACACCATTAATTTAGATTTTTTAAGAACAAACTAAAACAAACGCAACATGTCCTGAGTCCGTAAAGTTGGTGGCATTTTGAAGACTAAAATTGGTCGATTATTGATTTGTAATTCGGCTCGAAGACCCGTAGCTAGTTGCCGTGGTAGACCCATAAGGGGTGGATGACTCTCCCGCCAAGCGATTCGACGTAAATACCAAGAGGGCGTTGCTGGGCATGCTAGTGTTAAATCCAACCAGTTCCTCTCGAAATCCGTTTCATTTCTATAAAAGAAATCAAAGTTGTTATAGTTTAATCGGACATACACATAAGCTCAGCGTAAAATGTTTGAGTTTCAGGTATTTTTCCGTTTGAACATTTTTAAGTTAAAGGGCATTTTTAAATCCCAAGCACAAATACTAATGTTGCTTAAATTAAAATAACAGTTGCAATCAAATTACTAGGACAAAAATCAAGAAACATAAATTCAAAAAATTACCGAAACATTTACAATCACGAAGAGTATATATCGAATTCTTACCTAAAAAATTCGGTGTCTTTGTCCTTCTCTTTATTCCTTTTTATTCTTCGTGTTGGTGAAGTGGGTCTAAATCTATAATATTTAGGCATTTTACGATAGCAATTTAGGAAATATACATGCTAATAAAACCAACCTTTACACACCCTAAAATGTCACAAAAATGAAACAACCATTTGACAGTCTTGTTTTTCTTCAAAAAAAAATTAACGTATTAACAGATTTTGTAAGTCTATAAAAAATCTCTGTATGAGTTTTTCAATTGACAATAATTTTACTCGTTTGATTACTCTGTCAACGGACATGATATTGCGTGAAATGAAAAGTCTCATGAAATGTCAACTTTGACATCTGACATTTTATTGTGTTTGTAAAAATTGTAAAATTGTAATTGGATTTTGTAGGTGGAGAAGATAAATAGTCTTGAAATTAATCATACAATACAATGCTTTTACTTGGCTAATCCAAATGAAATGGCGTTTCTAGAAGTAAGTATTTTTTTAAATAGTCCAATTGATTGATGGTGTAGACCAAAAAAGATTGTCAGTTAATTCTTTGTGTTCATTACGTATATAATAGAGATATGAGATTTGTTAGAAAATTTAGTAGTTCATTAAATTTGGTTTTACAGCATAAACCGCACTTTTATCTAAATAGCGTTGAAGGAAATCCTAAAAGTGTATTTTTATTTTAGAGACGTCGATTTACGTTCTTCGATGTGCATAACAATGTTGATGGTGGAAAAATTGCAGAATGCCTCCAGGTAACTTGTGAAACCGCAATTTGATTTATCCCTTACACAACGACGACTTCCCTTAGACGACTATTTTACTACTATAAACCACGTTATAATTTTATCAACAATGTCTCTTTTCAACATTCAATATGCATTGAAAATATATCACTTAATTTTAACATGAACAAATAGTTCACAATTTCCATATGTGCAATAAACTAGATACATAGATACAATTCCTTTTAAAAATTCCATTTTCAGGATACATCAGTGTCAGCAACAACTAATGGACATAATCATATCATCATATGCGATGTCACGGGCATGGCTCACATCATCTCCCGATCTTGGGAGATCCTGTCATTCAAGGTCTATGAGCTGACAATAACATTGGCACAACAGCTCCCACATGATCCTTACTTAGTTACAATTGGGGTGAGTATTAATTTTTTTTTAGTTTAACATTGCATGGATTTTATACCATTTATTTTATGTTTCTAAACTGATGTCAGTTTTTTTTTGTGTGTTGGGGGTGAAGTCTTCATTAAAAACAAAAAAAACACAGGGGGGAAAACAGGATTATGTGAGATTCTTACTTAGTAAAACCTCAGTGGCCAAGCTTAAGTGTGACTGAAAGGGTCCCGATATCCAAAGGAATGTGAATGGAACAATGTTAATATCAGCTAATAACCATGGCTAGCAATCATGAAATATTTTTTATAAGCTCTGAGTCAATATCTTTTTTCTTTTTTAGGATGATGATCCAGGAATTAATCCCTTTATTAAAGTATGGGACTGGTCACGGAGTGATAGGGATCCAACATGCACTCGAGTGTCAAGAGCAGTGCCTTCACATCTCAGGGCCACACCTGCCACTGCTCTGGCAGTACATAATAAGGTAAAACAACTACTACAGTGATACTTCAATTTTATTGCAGCTCATAATTATTCATAAGAAGACAAAACATATATAGATATTTCTTAATTCTTTATTATCATTATGAATGTACAATCAGGGACTATGGCGGTGTTCCACCTTAAAAGCTCATTCATTTGAATGTTTTCATGTTGAGATGACAATGCGGAAGGATATCCTATAGTATGAAGATTTTAAATGTGTATCTATGAAGGTTTATCAGTGGTACATCTCAAAATACGTTTTTTTTAGAATCTCCTTGCAGTTGGTTTTCAAGATGGTTCAGTGTCATTATTTCGTGGCGATATATCCAGACAGCGCAGTGGAAAGATGAAAACTTTACCTGACTCTGGTACTAGTCCAATCACTGGACTAGCTTTCAAGTTAGTATCCATTTATAGTTACAAATTTACATAAGTACCAATATTTTTTTGTCTATATCTATAGTTGATTTAGTTTTATTATTAGTTTCTCACAAAAATTGTTAGAGAAGATTTTAACATGACGGTGTGTGTAGGGGTGCGGACAAGTTGTTTGTGGTGAGCCGGTCCACCACCCTGGTGTATCGGCTGGGTGAGGAGCGCTGTATCACTCTGGACGCGATGGGCGCTGCGCCACAGTGCAGTGTGCTCGCTGACAGGCAATGCTTCACTGTCGCAGCAACAGATGTAAGCAATACTTGTTTATGCTACACATTTAATCACAATCCAGTAAAATTACTTATGGAGGTCGTCCGTCGGGACAATGACTCGCTTATCCAGGTTCAACTTATATACTTTTATGTCCCAAGAGCATAATATATTTATTACCTAACTGTTCCCATGGAAATTGCATAACTATGACATATTTGAATCTCATTTTGAGTCTGAAGATGTTTAAATTTTATCTCGAACAATAATCTCCAATGTCTTTTACGATAACAATGTCTTGTGCCATAACTTAGAAACACAATTTTCATCTAAAAAACAAATTTGTCTATTCCAGGCAATATATTGTTATACAGCCGAAGTTAGAGGTCCATGTTACGCATTGGCCGGTGAGAAAGTACTGATCAATTGGTTCCGTAATTATTTAATAATAGTCACCAATGAAATGCCAACGAAAAATGTACCGTCCACAAGTAACACAATTTCAAAGACACATCATCTCACAATATTAGATATACAAAACAAATTTATAGTTTTCTCTAAAACATTCGATGGAATTGAAGCCGTTTTAACCGAATGGGGTTCATTTTATATATTAACAAAGAACAAAGAGATGATATTTCTTGAAGAGAAGGATCTCCAATCTAAATTGACTTTGCTATTCAAAAAGAACCTCTATGATGTTGCAATAAGGATAGCGAGCAGCCAGCATTATGATGTTGAAGGGTTGATGGAGATTTATAAACAGTATGGCGATCATTTATATAGTAAGGTAAGGATTTTATTCAAATTTTAGTCAAATTAGTTTAAAGTACATTATTATTATAAAATATATTACTGTCGATTTTATAATTTAAAATTTAAATCACCATAACGTTAATAAGAGTAACAAACTTAGTAATATTATAAATGCGAATGTCTGCATGGATGGATGGAGGGATAGACGTTTGTTAGGAGGTATCTCCGGAATGGCTCATCAGATTTTGATCAAGTTTGCACAGATGTAGAACAGAGGAACACATAGGCTACTTGTAAAGTTTTTTTTAGTTCTGCGCAGACGGAGTCGCGGTCCACACCTAGTTTTTGAATAAATGAAAGCTATGACATGAATGATTAGGATTACATTAAATAATATTTCCTATGTTAATATATTTTTAATTACAGGGTGATCTAAAAAGTGCAATTGAACAATACGTTAAAACTATAGGATGGTTGGAAACTTCATATGTAATACGAAAATATCTAGAATCCAGACATTTAGAGTCACTGGTACAATATCTAGAGGAACTACATAAGAAAGGTTTTGCGACTGAAGACCATACAACTCTGTTACTTACATGTTATGTTAAGATTGACCAACATGATCAACAAGGAAAACTTAAAGAATTCATCAATTCAAAAGATAAAACTATTGATTTTGATGTAGATGTTGCTATAAAAGTAAGTATATTATATACACCGCTATCTATGTTAGTCTCTCTTGTCCCACTGGGTTGCCTGGAAAAGATCGCTTATAGCAATAAGGCCCTTGTTATGTGAATTACTTTTAGTCATGTCTTTATATAGTTTGTAATAATAATAAGAGTTAATAAATAAATAATACACTATACATTACACTATACTAAATATACTAATATGAAATTTAAAAAATGCCGGCTATTGTAAAATTTCATATTTTGATTGGTAATTTTTTTTTAGTATTTTTATACTACTATTAAAAAGACAGGTTTTTTGTTTGTTTGCATTGAATAGGCTCCATAACTACTTAACCAATTTGAAAATTCTTTCACTTTTGACGCACATGGTCTATAGCATAGAATGTCTTTGATTTGAGACTTAAATTTGTCAATGTATCTTTTTCTAGGTTGTTCGTCAAGTGAGCGTTGACGACGCTCTATCTTTAGCCGCGAACCACAAAAGACACGATTGGTATCTTAAAATAGTATTGGAAGATAAGAAGGAATACAAGACTGCGCTTGATTATATCGCAGATCTGGAGTTTGATGATGCAGATATGTATATGAAAAAGTATGGACACAAATTGATTCAGCATGAACCAAAAGAGAGCACTAAACTATTGAAATGTAAGTACATAGGGTACAGTAAGGTTTGTTTGCAGTTCAGCATTTATCCCCATAAATTCACTAAAGTGACAATTGCAACGATAAATGAATCAATATAACTGCCACGGGAGTGAAAACCCACGGTTCTGTCGTTTAGGATTTAGTTATGAAATGATATTTAATTTTTTTTTAGAACATAACATACACTGTAAGAATTCCTTTATATTCTTCTTTTGAGCATATTTAATGCTTTAAAAACGTTACAGGTTAGTAAATGTATCAATATCAGTGCTGGTAATCTACAGATTCATTTATTTAATCAGAACATTTAGCACCCTAATTGATATCTGTAAAAAAAATTCTGTAACTGTAGTACCGCGAACGATGCTGACTGTACTATATCGTTTTGCTTATGAAAAAGGATTTTTATCTCAATATTAATGTTTTACAGTACTATGCACTGACTACAAACCTCGCAGCAAGCCTCTGGTGGATGAAGATTCTTTAAGCGGTGTTCACAGAGAGCCTGACAGGTATTTTTTCATTTATATCAAGATGTCATCAATCTAAAAGTCTAAAACTTTGACTAAAATTAACATAAATATGTTCGGTCAACCATATATGCAGTTGAAAAACATATTATTATTAAATGTTACCAATAATACTATTCTAGTACCAAAGTTTGTTGACCTTTGAATTATATTTTACCAATGTATTTTAATATTTGACATTTGTTATATAGGGCTCTTCCCGATGAGTACATACACATGTTCCTCAACAACTCGGAGCACCTCATAGAGTTTCTGGAGCACATGGTCTCCTGCGCAGACCTTAAGTGTTCCAGTCTAGTCTACAATACCCTTATAGAACATTACATACACGTCTGGTAAGTTATAAGTATTAAAGAAATATAGGTAAATATAAGAATGTGGAAGATGTAATAATCCATAATCACTGCCTATCCTTCTGTGTAACGGGCGTGAAAATATCATTGTATAACTATAAGTCGCCTGCTACGCCCTCCAATCAGAAATAAAAAATAATAAGTAGCCGATGTGTTCTTCCAGACTATGTTCTACATCTATGCCAAATATCATCAAGATCTATTGAGCTGTTCCAGACATACCTTCTAACAGACATCCATCCATCTAAATTAATATTAATAAGATTATTTTTAATTTAATTACTAGTTACTGATTTACGAATTTTGATCTGGTATAATGAAATACTTTACCCAAAATTATAGGCAATATGTTTAAAAACTTATATAATTACAGGGCAAAAGCGGAACCAGATGACAAATCACAGAAAGCATTGAAAGTGTACAATGTGCTGAAAGACCCCGAGGCCAACTACGATAGAGACCAGATGTTGATCATCTGCCAAATGTTTGACTTCAAAATTGGCATACTGCATTTGTACGAAGAGAAGAAATTGTAAGTAAATATATTCAAGCTTTGTAAGATGACGTCATAGATTGTGCGTCCCGGAGGCCTAATTTAGTTCTCTTTTTCTTCCCACCCTTTTTCTTATAAAGAAAGAATGGGAAGTGGACTTTCCGGATGGAAAGGGAAAATATTTTTTTTCTGTTCAAGTGTCAGAATTAGTGAGGGGACACAAACGTCGACATTTATAAAGACTAGTGTTGTGCCAGTACATCGGCACAGTGTCGGATTTTCTTGCTAACAGTATGTATGTATGTATGTAGATGGCGAGCGACGCTGGCGCTGCACATGCGCAGTGGCACAGCGGACGTGGCGCTGGAGGTGTGCCGGCGACGCGGCGCGGCGTGCCCGCAGCTGTGGCGCGACCTGCTGCACGCGGCGCCCCCGCCCCCACCACGCTGTCTGCCGGAACCTCTGCAAGTACTCGGTCAGTACATATAACACCACCCATATCTTACTGATATTATAAATGCGAATCTTTGGATGGATGGATGGATGGATGTTTGAAGGTACCTCCGGAACCGCTGTATTGATCTGACTGAAATTTGGCATAGATGTAAATACACAAGCTTCTCACTAAGTTTTTAATACAGCGAGGACGGAGTCGCGTGTGAAAACTAGTGTTTAATAATGCTGCCGGCTGTTTGTGTCTGTGTAACATAGTATTTGCTTTAATCTATCCTTATACGACGACCTATCTAAATTTATTGACTAATCGTTGGTTTCTGAGACCTAAATTGTCACTCATTATCTTTGACATAACAGAGATAATATGATTTATAGACATTTTGGTCTAGGAAACGAGAGAAGAAAAATATATAAGTTGAAGATTAAAAAATGTAATACAGAGAACAAATATGACTGTACATGGATACGAACAAATGTATGTCTCAAGATAAATAAAATAAATTCCAGCTTGATAACTTCACGCGTTTTTGAGAAAAAGAGCCTTGACAGACGGACGGACGGACAACAAAGTGATCCTATAAGGGTTCCGTTTTTTTCCCATGAGATACGGAACCCTAAAAATATCTCAATTCGTGTATTTCGTCCTTATATACTTTTATGAGCGTTATATATAAGCGTTGTTTATTTGCAGCAAGTGAGAAACTTCTCTCACCAATTCTAGTCATCGATTGTCTCACCAGCACTCAGTCATACACCCTGGGGGATGTGCGCAAGTAAGTTTTTTAGACATTATTAATTAGAATCCTTTGGAGTGACGTGATTTCGCTACCAAGTGTCAGAATGATTAGTGAGGGGACATACACGTCGACATTTTAGTAAGGCTAGTGTTGCGCCAGTACACCGGCACAGTGTCGGATTTTCTTTCTAACATAATAAATATAATTGCTTGTTTGGATGTAAAAACTATTACAGGATTCATAAGTTTAATTTTCGGATTAAAAATTTTTAGTATTTTTTTCTTTTGTTTAGATATTTAATGGATGTATTAAAATCAGAAGAGGAGGTGATAAACAGAGAAAGAGAACTTTCCGCTAAATATAAGAGCGAGACAGAGAAGATGAAGAGTCAGATTGAAGTTATCCAGAATGAACCTATTACCTTTCAAAGTTCCCGCTGCGCTGCTTGCAATGGATCACTCACGTTACCCTCCGTACATTTCTTCTGCCAACACTCTTTCCATCAACAGTGAGTGCTTGAATATAATTTCAAAAGGTTTAACAAATCTGTCTTCATTGCTTAACTATGATTTTTTTTAAATCCTAAAATGATCAAGTGAACTAACGCTAAGTAGCATTACTACTAAATACATTGTCTTTTACATTTGATTAATATTATTGATTCCTTTCATAAAATCTATAATCATTTTTAATTGTTAAATATGATGTAAATAATTATAAAAAGTTTTTTTTTTATATCATAAGGTGGCAAACGAGCGAGCGGCCACCTAAAATCGCTGAAATAGCGAAGTGACCGTTGCCCATAGACATACGCAATCGCATATGCGTTGCCTACCTTTAATCGACGGAGGAGAGGATGCACAGAAAAAAAATATCTTCTCTTTCCATGCATCCTCTCATCCGGAAAGTCCACTTCCACTTCCCATCCTTTCCTTATAAGAAAAGGGAGGGAAGGGAAAGAGGACTAAATTAGGCCTCCGGGACGCACACTCATCAGACGAAACGCGGAATTGCTTCTACTTCACGCCTGTTTTCTGTGTGGTGGTGGTATTTCACCGGACGAACCTGGCCAATTCGTGCGAAGATGTTAAAGCGGGTTCTACCACTCTTAAGTAAAATTACATTGCGCCTGGGCTTAATAAAATAGCAATTTTACTATAATATATTACCTACCTAGTCTTACTTAATTAACATTGGTATATATTGTATCGTAGCAATAAGACAATACGTATTGTGTATTGCAGCTGTTTCCAGAGTTATTCTGAGTGCGAGAGCGAGTGCCCGGCATGTGCGCCGCCACGCCCACCTGCGCCGCCCCCGCATACTGCCGAGACACTGCACTCCCGCCTGCACAAGGACCATGACCCGTAAGTAACTACTGCACAAGGACCACTAACTACTACTGCATAAAGACCACTAACTACTACTGCACAAGGACCACTAACTACTACTGCACAAGGACCACTAACTACTACTGCACAAAGACCACTAACTACTACTGCACAAAGACCACTAACTACTACTGCACAAGGACCACTAACTACTACTGCACAAGGACCACTAACAACTACTGCACAAGGACCACTTACTACTACTGCACAAAGACCACTAACTACTACTGCACAAGGACAACTAACAACTACTGCACAAGGACCACCACCACTTAGTACTACTGCAGTAAGACCACTCAGTAATAATGCAGAGACCAGGACCCGTAATTTCTACTTGCACAAGGACCTGTAACTACTACTGCATAAGGACCACGACCCGTCAGTACTACTGTCGCACTTAGAACCCTCATATTTTTATTCCTCATACTCTAAAATAGACCACTTATAATTCTGAAAGCAGCAGTTATTTTAATTTTTTAACATCCATTCTACATGATCCATAGGCCTGGCCTATTGAACAATTTTTCTACTCCGGAAAACCTTGGTCTAAATATTATAAAGAATTCATTTCTATTCATTCTAAGTCTTGCCTTTCAATCCATCCTAATCTTACTTCTTACTAATATCATAAATGCAAAAGTTTAGATTGATGGATGGATGTTTGTTTGAAGGTATTTCCAAAACGGCTGAACAAATCTCGATGAAATTTGGCATACGTATAGACCATTTTTTACTTATTAAGTTTGTTTTATTTCCGCGCTGACGGAGTCGCGGGCGATAGATAGTCTGAAATAAAAGACGATGATGAGTTCATTAATAATGAAAAATTGTTCCTTCTTTATAAAGATAACCTTGATTCAATGTAAACTATATTTTGATGTTGACACAAGTGTGCGAGCTCCGCGGAGATATAATAGTTTGAAGTGTACATTCTTGTTATATAGAGTCGAGAGATTTTTAACACAACGAGCGTAAAAATCCATTATTTATTATAAATATGTGTATGTATAAAAATATTTATACTAAAACTACAGTTTTTTTTCTCTTAAATAAATGAATGAAGTATTCAAATTTTCATCTCTTCTTTTTTTAACTAAACAAATAAGACATATTTTTGTATGTATTTTGGTGCAGGAATTCGGTTACTTAATTTCAATGTGTTGATATCTCCAAATACCTAATCCATCCATACAAAGTTTCACTTTTAATTAATACATTTGTAATGAACTCTTGGAAGTTATAATTTTCTACATCTATATATATAAAAGAAAGTTGTGTTAGTTACACTATTTATAAATCAAAAACGGCTCTACCGATATGGGTGAAAATTTGTGACGAGGTAGCTTAGAGCCAGGAGACGTACATAGGATACTATTTATTCAATTTTTTTTCGAATTTATCCCTTGAAGAGCTGCTTTTTATTTAACTTACAAATATTATAAATACGAATGTTTAGATGGATATGATGTGGATGGATGGATGGGTGCTTGAAGATATCTCTAGAACAGCTGAACGGATCTCGAATTAATTTGGCATACGTATAGAACATAGTCTGAAAGAACACATAGGTTACACTAATTAATTTTTTGTATATATCCACGCGGACGGAGTCGCGGGCGACAGCTAGTTTATATTAATTAAAGTAAACATATATTAGTGTTCAAGATAAAAAAATCTTAATATCCTTACAAATATTCATTACACTATAACATAATTAATTTAACCTATAAAATATTGTAATTTTCAATCAGTATCGCTTCGGACGTCAACGCGAGTGGACGTGTTTAATTTTCGATTTGTTATCTTTACGAGTTTTGTAATCCATCGGCAATGCTTATCGACAGTCGCGTGTAATTGTTTAACGTTTGAGTGCGCGTGTTTGTTATGATTCCGCCTTTCTCTTGGTGTTTCCAAAACATTGCCAATGAAGGCCTCGATGGGTGAGATATTTCTTCTCTTGAATCTTCACTAAGGATATTAGTAACCTAGTCTTAATTGCCGTGAGTTTCTAAGACTAAAACCTCGTCGAAAACATATTTTTGTCTATATCCATATTAATATTACAAAGCGGTAAAGTTTGTTTGTTTAACCGCAGTAATCTACTAGTCCGATTTGAATTTTTTTTTGTTGTATTGTCCATTTATAGAGGAAGGCTTTAGGCTATTACGCTGCGACCAATAGTTTTTTTTTAATTCCGCGCGGACGGAGTCGCGAGTGACAGCTAGTTTTTTATAAAGAGATTTTGACGTCAGAAACCCTCAGTCAGTGGTATGTGTCTTACATTATTTGTAACACTTTTGACATTTTGTAACGTTTTACAATTACGTTACTGATTATTTTAATTCAAAGTCGAAATTTAAATTAAAATAAAAAAATGAATGTTTGTATATTATTCATAGATAACTAACTGTCGCCCGCGACTCCGTCCGCGTGGATATATAAAAAAACTTAATTAGTGTCGCCCACCCATCCATCTATCCACATCACATCCATCTAAACATTTGCATTTTTAATATTAGTAAGTTAATGAAAAGCAGCTCGTCAAAGCATAAATTTGAAAAATAATAAAAAAAAAAGAATAAATAGCATCCTATGTCCGTCTCCTGGCTCTAAGCTACCTCCTCACCAATTTTCAGCCATATCTGTAAAGCCGTTCTTGAGTTATAAATAGTGTAACTAACACCACTTTTTATATATATATATATATATATATATATAATATTACACACAGTTTTGTTATCAGTTTAATGCAATCTATATAATTTACGAGTAATATAACATTGAATATATTTCAAGGTTTCTGTTATTTGCGTTAAATATAAAAAAATGTACAGTTTATTCTTGATCTTTTAAACATTGAAACTATAAAAAAATCTTTTTGTTTGTGAAAAACAAGGAAAAGCTAATATCAGCACTCGGTTACAGATCAAAATGTATAGTATACTTTTTCGTTTATTTCTTAACATTTTTAGGGCACAAATATTCAATGGCGTCCTAAGAATGACGCCAATCTTACTAATATTATAAAAGCAAATGCTTAGATGGGTGGATGTTTGAAGCTGTCTTCAGAACGTCTTAACAGATTTCGATGAAATTTGGCTGGAAGAACACGTAGACTACTCATTTTCTTTTTTTTAATTCCGCGTGGGCGATGTCGCGGGCGATAGCTAGTATCTAATAGTTTAGAAGTTCTTACGGTGAAGGAAAACATCGTGATGCAACCTGCACGTATCTAAGAAGAAATTCCATGATATGTGTGAAGTCATGCCGCACTGGGCCAGTGTGGTTGACTATGGCCTAATCACGCTTAACTTATGGTAGGCTTCGAGATATAATGAGCTGATGATGATGAATAGTTTAGAAAGGTATAGCTGACAAACACACAAAGATTTATATAGTTTTCTCGTTATAAAAAAATACCAGTTGTGCCGTATTGCTTAACATTGTTGACGATGTTGATAAAACGACACAATACTCGGATGTTTTTCTATTCATATTACAATTGTTTGCATTACATATATGTGTTTATTTGTCTTCAATAAGTAAATCTTTTTATTCGATTAAAATAATGCAAACATTATGATTTTCAATGAGATGAGTTTACTAACATTCTTGTTTACGAAACCTATTTAATGTACTTCATAAACTCACTGATAAGATATTCGTGAAGAATAATTTTGTTTCATTTTTTTAAGAATAGTAGAGATGAAATTATGGATTTATGCCAGCGTTTCAAAAATTCTGATAGATTTTTCTTTCCTAAATCGAACCTCATGTATGAAAAATAAATAGTTGACAGTTAGATGTTGTAAGATGATGATATCTTAGGAATATTATAAATGCGAATATTTAGATGGATGGATGGATGTTTGTTTCAAGGTATCACTAGAACGACTAAATGGATCGTGCTGAAACTTGGCATACATGTAGAATAGTATGGAATAACACATAGACTACAAATTCAGTTTTTTTTTATAATTACGCACGGACGAGGTCGCGGGCGACAGCTAGTTTAACCTTAAATGATTATTTAACAGATACGCAGTGGTATCAGAATACTTCGGACGTGGTCTGTTCAACAAGCTGACGGTGGTGACGGAGGGAGCGCAGGAGGGCGTGGCCCCACTCCCCGACCCGCCCCTCGCGCCTCTCGCCCCGCCCACTCAGCAGACGTATGGACCTGGTGCTGAAGCTAAACTACGCTTGCAAGAAGGACAGAGTAAACAAGGTAACAAAGTACTGACTAACCGTGGGTTTCTGACAACAAAACAAATTGATATCTGTGTTTTGTCAAAGATGAAAAATGTTATACAAAGATTTTTGTCTCAGAAACCCACGGTACGTAAAGTTGTATGAATGTAGAAGAAATTTATTGAGTTTTATCGAGGATATAAAGTAAAAAATTGTTAAAACAATTAAATAAATATTTTTAAATTTTTATTTGATTACTGCGAGAGTTATTTTTTTATAACAACGTTAAATATATTTTTATAGCATAATTTAAGTGTTTTATGTTCACTGATAAGACAACCAATGTTAATAGAAAACAAAGTAACTCGTTTTTTCAATTAAATTAACATGACTAATACAATGACTAACATCTATCTAAAGTATTGCGAAACAAAACACTGATTATTAAGTAACAAAATTAAACGCTTTATTAGTATAGTTTAATTCAGAAATTCCTCTTTTTTTCCTTTTTTTATATAGACCAAGTGATACAAAAAAAAAACAAGCAGATTTATGAAATCCTCGTATGTCATGTGGTCATCAGGTATTCTACATCTCACTTATAGTAACTGGTCAATTAGTCTGTCCCTTTCACTTAAAACAAAGAATCAAAAAGTTTGGATATTTTTTCCAGTGTTCGTGGCAAATACTGTAAAGCAGCAGGTGCCGAAAGGCACTGCGGTGGTGCCGGTGCCTGAAGGCAGGATGCGGCTTCTGGAGCAGCAGCAGTACTCCTCCAGTCTGGAGGCCAACATGCAGCAGCTGCAGCCAAAGCTGCGACTCTCACCCGCAGCTAACAAGAAGTGAGTATACGAAATTTGCTTACTTATAAAATTTTAGGTCGCTAATACTGTCGCGATACACTTAACTAGGCGCTCCGATTGAAGTGTAGTCACGTGACCAGGAGTGTCTAGTCACGTGACACGAAGTGCCTAGTCACGTGACACGAAGTGCCTAGTCACGTGACACGAAGTGTCTAGTCACGTGACCCCAAGTGTCCATTCACGTGATCCCGAATGCTTAGAGACGTAACGTAAACGTACGTAAAAGTAAATTGAAGCGACTCTTTTTTAATGTTTAATATTTTATAAGATCAGACTAGTACCTTCTATTTATTATCGTAATTATTATGCATAACTTTGACTAATTTGTAATGTCTTTCAGATTCCAAGAGCCCAACGTCTCGCCTAACATATCATCGGCGATAACCAACGGAGCGAATAAAAATCCTTTCGAAGACGAAACTTACGATGAAAGTAAGAACCCGTTCTCAGACGATGACGTCAAAGAGCCGAGCAACCCTTTCGCAGAGGACGATGATTATGACAAAAATCTCAACCCATTCTCGTGATCGTAACATAATGGCTAATCTCCATTCGAATACAGTTTTTTTATCTCTTTCATTCTTTATGTAATCAGACAGAGATAGCAAATGTTTGAATATTTGAAATTACCGGAAAACTTGCAATGTTGCCAACATAAAAAAATTACAGTTATAAAATTATTTACCTTTTCTTTAAATTTGGATAAAAAATTTATTGCGACATAATGGTCTCGTCGTCTTAATGGTCCGACTTATCTATATAGAAGTACTAATGTCGCTATTTATATTGAAATGGACTATATTAAGTATAGTTCGATTACAATTCGATTATATAACGTAGTAAGGATTAGACAGAGAGGAAAAACTTTGTTTTTTACTATAAAATGTTACTTTTCTTGGCAAAATTAATGTGTATAAGACTGGCAATGAACATATTGCATTATTATAAACGATCTTATTATAAAAAATTAAGTTTTTTTTTTTTAGTTTCTCGTAAATTTATTGCGTAGGAACAGTATTTTGTTAGATAGAATAACTTTAGTAACAAAAGTGTAATAAGATTATTTGCTATTTTAATTTGCCAGTAATATACAAATAATAATTATTATATGTGTAAATGTAATTTAAATACCTTCATTTATAAATATAATGAAATGCAATAAAATCATGAAAATGTACTGAATAAAAAAAAGGTTACTTTATTATTTGTTTAAATATTTTCACGACAATATTTAAATGCATTGGATCTCCTGATAAATATATATAATTTGCCCAACGTTATAAAACGTAATGTTATTAATATGAATGAAAATTAAAAAAAAAATAGTTACATTTTTATACCTACATTCCTTAAATAGCTTAAATGTATTATACAGCCAGCTTGTAAGAATAAATGTATTTAAAATATCTATAATATATTTAAAAATGTAAAACTATGAGTTTTAATACATAAAACACATTGTTTAAATATAGATTTATCACGAAATATTGTGTTTTATTCCTTCCATCCACTTTTTAAGAACTTATAGTATATTAGAAGCTTGATAATAGTATTTTTACTTAAATCCTAAATCTTGACGGGATGAGGTATATGTGTGATAAAGAAAAACAACAATTTGGAAATTTTCAAAGCATTTTATTTATGACCTTTAACACTGTGTATAATATATTTTGATAGTACATTTAGAGCAATGAGTAATATTACCGATCATTACAACGTTCTTATCATAAATTGAATGAAATCTATAAATTATATATAGAATATATAATTTTTCAAATATCCATTCTCACCCAACAATCAACAATCACTATCGAAATCACAAGAACCGGCCGAGTGTCGGGCGAGAGGCGGTGGGCGTGGCTTACGTGACGCGCACGTAGCGCAGGCCACGCCCACCTCGCGCAGATGTCACTGACGCCTCGGTACATAATAAAAGCATCAAATAAAAACAGTACAAGCTCCTTCCGGCACCCTATTAGTTTCCGATCAACCGACAATCATAAATACATAGAACAAAGAACCTAATCTCAAAATAACATACTAGAATCCTATAAAAATAACAGTATAGCTTAAAGAGTACTCTATAAAAATATATATAATCCAGCTTAAGCTGTTATATCTAATTTAAAAAGGTTTATTTTTGGATCTACAAAAATATAACCAAACGAGAAGCTCTGCGCATAAAAACAAAGAGAATGTGAAATTTTTAAGATAAATTTACATCATTCGCGGCACTCCCGTGATTATCAATTTCGCTCTCTATTAATGAACTACGTAAACACCATTTTGCTATGCAAAATACACATTATCCTAGATATTTAGAAGAAACAAATGAAAATAATTTACAAACTTTGGAATGTTTTGCAAATGACTAGAAAAGAAAGATGTGGCTATGAAATGAGATCTTTATATTCGATACATCGATAAACACGTCGTGAAGAGTTAAACAGCGAATCGAGACATCGTCAAACTTCGACTTTAACAGATTCGCAAGACACAAATGAGAAAGTATTTAACGTTGTGCTGTAGAAGACAACATTACCACTTAAGGGTTACATTCCGATAATTAACGTATTTTCAATATTTAAGAAATATTATAAACACACAGCATGTCTAAATTTTGGTTAATACTTTTTCAACTTACAACTATTTTAATTCTAAACTAAATTTTAATCAGGGTTTCTACGGTCAGAGTGCAAGCAGAACTCGGCCACGGAGTTAAGCTTTTTTTTTAATCATTTTGAATTAAGTAAACCATACAGTAAGTACCAAATGAACTTGTCAAAGATATTTACAACGACTAAAATTCACTTAAGCTTACAAATTGTCATGAAATCTATAAATACGCACGTACTAAAAGGAGTCGCCTACAAGCAATAGTACACTGACATTTATATTATAATTTTATTTAACATTTATTTAAGCGGTAACGAGATTAAGATTGCTTGGACTTATCAACAGACGGTTGAGATGATGAAATTATTAAAAAAAATAACTTTAAAAAAGCAAAAAATAAACTTGCAGAACTGTCACATCGATTACCTAACTACTGTGATGTATAATAATTATTATTTGTAATTATATTGAACTAAGGACGTGAAGTTGATGCCCTGTTTACACAATGCCAGTACAATATGACAGTTCCGTTCAAAATCAACACTGGAATAGAACTTTTAACACTGTCTGGCGCTATAGTGCCCATTCAGTAGATGCCAGGCCAGCGCAACTATCCTACTGGAATGGCATAATGTTAACCTGGAATGAGGCGTATCGCAGCGCGCCTCCTGTCACATGACTAGACAATATCCGCGGAATGATTTTGTGACATCGACAAAACGCAAAACTGCGTCAAACTTCCCGAGAACATTCCAATAATCCTACTTTATACAATCCAAAAGATAAAAATTATTGTGTATCTAGGAACTGAATTAAAACAAATAAATAAAAAATATTAATTACGACATAATAATTTAAATTCTGACCTAAGTTTTAAGCGTCGAACAAATGGTTACGCTACGATTCTAAAATGTTCATGTGTTGGTTATTTTTAATGTATTTACATACTACAGTGAAAAGAAACTTTACGTATGACGTCATACAGACCTACACTCCCACTGCGCCTCACAAAATATAATCTACTGCTTGTCATACGTATATACATCGTAAATTACAATAATGTATCCAAAGTTAGGAGAAAAATTATAGATTGTCATTTTCGTCTATAATTTTACAATGTCATTTCTGTGATGTACAATGTCATAATCGATAAAATCGATTCCATTTATGCGCAATATTGCATACGAATCGATTTTTCACAAAGTTTAGAATATCAAACTGTAAGTTACCACTACTGAAACGAAAACATGTCATTTTTATTTTCTCAGTTAATAAGTACCAGCAGTGGAAACCTACGAAGATACGTGTCGTATGTGCCATGAGCAAAGTTGGTAATATGACAAAAATGCAAGTACGTTAGTACATCTGACTTGTCAAAAGCTCATATTGTCATGACAACGGTACGTGACAAATCATAGTTCTACGAACATTTGGCGTCGCTGTAACTCGGACATTGAAACGGCTCAAACACAACTGTTATATTCGATTCGCTATATATATTTCTTTACCCCGCCTTCCGAATCAGTGCACCGGTTTGGTCCCAAACTACAAGCATTTGACCTTGAATATATATATAAAAACTACGTAAATATATATCATATAGCATTAAATGCATTTTAATACTGTTAACAACTTTGATATATACAAAACAAAGGAATATTTAAACTTATATAAAACATATATATTTAACTACATAAATATTATTAAAAAACATAATCCAATGATAATTTGTAATTCATTCATAAATTATTATTAACATAAAAAATATGCTCCTTTTTCCTCTAATGGTACCCGATTTTCCCACCAAACCAGTCACAGAAATTATATATTAAAAAAACAACTTGCTCAACACTGATTCCAATCAAAAATGTATATATAAATATTATTGTTCTTGTGTTAGTTTATTTGAAATGTAAGTTGTTAATTAAAAATTCAGTACAATATTAAACGTGGTATATCCACAGAAAATCATATTTGGCACTTTATAGTCTAAATTGTTTCAAAGTGAACATTGCTCAAAAGCCCGGTAACTGAAACCAAACATGTCAAACTTGAAGAAACTATTTAAGCGAATATTTTGATATTAAATGTTTAATGCAATCAGATACTGAAGTAACAATAAAATTGATATTTTCATACTTTGCCGAATTTAAATCACTGTTATGTTATAAAAGTGTTAGGTTAGATTTGACAAAAATAATTCTAGATTTAGGTTAGGTTTTGTCTGTAATGTAGTGTACCTACTGACCTCTATAAATGGACTGGTTGTAACACATAGTATTTTGTTCCTAATTCATTCCCGCTATTATGACGCAGACAGTGGCGGTTGGAAAGACGCGTAATCGGAACGAATGAAAAGCTGTAATTTTCAAGCAATAACTTATCCATTTATAGAGGCGAGTATGTGTTGTGTGTGGGGGGTGTGGGGGGTGTGGGGGGGTGGCGTTTGTGTGGGGGAGCCGTATCAATGTCCGCTAGCTGGTCTGACGACGCGCCTAAGCATGGCAGTGAGCCAGGGCGCCTCACGCGGTGGCGGATGTCGCGCCGGACGTCGCGGGCGCCGGCCTGTCGCCGCGCCGCGCTGACCGCGACCTGTGCCCGCACACCTTCAGAGTGTGTATTCACTTTGCTTCTTTTACGCGATTCTTTATATTCATACCCTTTACTTATGAAAGTTCTACAACTCGTATCTCAATTTGCGAACGTTTGAGTTATTTTTAAACAATTTATAACTAAATGTTACAAAATTTCGTACGAAATTTACTTTTGTATTGTCAATCTTTGCAATATTTTATAATTATTTTTGTTCGTATTCAGACACGAATAGTACTCATATTGATATGAAACTTTCATCAGTGAAGGGAATTCTTATTATAAAATATAGAGAACTAATAATATATTTATTTAAACTATAAATCAAATCGCTACGAAACAAAGTAAAAACATACATACACATAAAATAATAGCAACGTTTTTTTAAGCGAAAAAGTTTGATGTACATTAAAACCTTTTTACAAAAGAATTAATCTGTGATAACTCCTGATTATTACCAGCAATTCCATTTAATTTAAAAATAAATTTTAAAAAAAACATAAATAAATCTTACCTAATCTGTCCGGCGAGTAGCGGGTTAATGGCATACAGCCAGTCGTGTACCTCCTTGTCTCCCAGCGTCTGCAGCAAGTAGCCGCGCTCCTTGCTCACCACGCTGTTACAGACAATACTTCATTCATGAAATCCCAAGTAAATGACATGACAGGAGACACACGAGTGTCACGAATTGCTGTCATGTCATGTCACTTGTGTCAAGTTAATGACATTAGTTAAAGGTCAAGATGTTTAAATTACAGGTCATAATAAAACGGATACATCTTATATTATGAATATGTCTTTCGATAATTTCACACCAAAATTACACAACAGGTTATAAAAAAAACATGTATAGAACACTGTTCTGTGAGCAATTGATGCTATAGTACTTTTTTCTGACGTATAAGACAACTCAGAACTCCAGACTCATTTTGAACCAAGACCAGATCTGAGTTTCATAAATCAGTAAAACTTTGAATTGGCCAATATTATGCAAAAGTCATTAATTTTAGGATTTCATAAATAAGAATGTTTTAAATGTGAGTAACATTCCGGTATTTACCTGAATGTGTTGGGCATGCGCACCATCTGCTCCTGGTCCTCGGAGTACTCGACGTGCGCGTTGGCGAGGTTGATGAGGGCGCGCTCTATCGGGTCACGCTCGTCACGGTAGATGAACACGTATGGTCGTCGCACCACCTGACACACGAGTTTTATATTAATACATTATTAGCCACTGAATGTGTAAACCAACAACTTTCAATATTGAAACCTTGATAAATGAACTAGGGAACTGCGATATTTTTCTCGTTAATCCAGGTTCGACAATACATTGGCATAACATAACGAGTCGTCATCAAATAACATCAGATAAACTTCTTACTTATTTGCTTCGATCTATTTTTTTGTGTGCGAGCGCGTGTACGTGTACGTATACGTGTTTTCGTAAGTGTACGTGCATGTACGTGTACGTATACCTGTTTGCGTATGTGTGTGTACTCACCAGCCATCTCTTCTTCCAGCCGTGTGTGCCGTGCTGCAGCACGTTGAGGTATCCGCGGCGCGCGACCGCAGCGGACACGCGCACCTCCTCGCAGTCGGGCACGAGCAGCGCGCCCGCGCCGCCGCCTCCAGCACCGCCCCACGCCGCCACCGCGCGCTCCAACATCGACCTCTCCGGGGAGCACAGCCTGCCACACAATTACACTTACATCCAAGAAAACATTGATGAACGTTAACATACTCTGACAAAAAAAAAACCTTCAGTCAATAATTACGGTACATAAACCCAACAAATGATTCGACACGAACAAACTTTGTCAATTGTCATATTACCTACACAAAAATTGCTTAAAATCGCTACAAATAATATGTAGTTGCGAATGGCGCAATATTTAACTGTAATGTTTTATAAGGGTATAAATCTTTTGCTCTTTAATATAATTAATTGTAAGGTACATAAAAGCTACTGACTCGAAGCTGCTAGCGCTGTGTATGGAGGAGAGCAGGCTGGGGGTGGAGATGTCCGCAGACACGCCCTCGTCCACCGGGCTGGCCGGGGAGGCCGCGCCCCCTGCGCCCGCTGCACCCGCACCGCCCTCAGCTCCGCCGGACCCGGACCCTATCCGTCCTGCGACACGGAACAAATAACTAAATTAAAACAAACATAAATTTAATCTAATCTTACTAATATTATAAATGCCAATATTTGGATGGACGGAAGTATGGATGTTTGTTTGAAGGTATCTCCAGAACAGCTGTATGGATTTCGCTGAAATGTGGCATAGATGTAGAACATAGTCTGGAAGACCACATAGGCAACTAATTACGTTTTCTTTAATACCGTGCGGACGCAGTCGCAGGCCACAGCTAGTACGTTCATAAATGAAATATTAGACAGCTTGCGGCGTAGTATCACAGCACAATGACTGTGTCATACAATCAATCGTAAAACAGAACATCAACATCGTCAAGAAATTTAAAAAAATAATATTCATCTGTAGTTCCTAAATAAGTTTGCTTGTACCTTGTATAAGCTTGACGTATTTAGCGGCGAGTTCTCGTTCGCGCGGTGTCATCTCCCAAGGCTCGTAGACATCGTCTGCGTGCGGCACGTGAGGGGCGTGGCCACCGTGTGGGGCGTGGCCGCCATGCGCGCACTCGCCCGCCGCCTTAGCCGCCATGTTGCATACCTCCTACATTAAAAATAAGTATACTAATGTGCCTTTTACACGACATATTGATAAAGAATTAGAGCTGGTTTTGAACAAACCTTCTCTGTCTTGGTAAAGTCATTGGGAGCAACGGTGTTCTCGTGTCCGTGACGCAGACGCTCGCGCAGCGCTAGGAAGTGCCGCGTACGACCCACTTGCTCCAAACGAGTCATCTTCTCCAACTCCCACTGTACATATATTTATATTATAAATACATAAATAAAGTATATAACAATACATTAATTAGTTAACAACAATAACCACCACCAGGAATTATGAATGTACTTTAAGATAATTTAGTGCAAAGAATTTATTTTGAAGAGACGTTCTCCCTATTTATTTTATACTATGCTTGTTTTTAGAATAAAAGGTTTTTTTTTAAATAGGCGATAGTAAGAATTAATTCGTACTAATATAACCGTTATCATTTCAAGACTATACTTGAGAAAGAAACGAAAGTAAAAGACAAGAGAATCTTAGCATAGGGATATCCCAAAATTAACTATACGGCTATATAACTACATAGAAAATATATATTAACATTTCCTATTAACACGATTCGACTTAAAAATTTACCGTGGGTTTCTGATGTCAAAATATCTGTATAAAATATATCGTCATCCCTGTCCTTCATCTTTGACAAAGCAGAGATAACAATATTTTTCAAACGGATTTGATATCAGAAAGCTATGGTTAGATAAATATTTATTTTGGAAGTAACATTGCACTAAAATTGTTAACAAACTAATAGAATTACGAGACAAAAGCAAATAGATTATGTGATAAGCGATGGTTTCTATGATTTGATGTTATTAAATTTTGAATGAAGTAATAATAATATATAAAAATTTAAAGGAAAAATATATAACATTGATCCGAGCATTCTTATTTATTTCAGTATGAAAATTAATATATTTATTTATATTTTGCTATATAGAATATGTAAGAAAACTCGTATCAATTTAAAAGCAATTGTGTAATTCATTAAATGGTTAAAATATATATGGAATAAGCTTATAGTCTGTCCAGTGATACAGATTAATAAAAAAAAATTGTGGTTAGTTAAACGAAAAAAAAATTACTTAATTTATTTTTGTATTGACTCTGTGAAAACATCATATAACGACAGTTGTCTGCAGCTAGGGGCTCGGAACCTACCCTAAGTTATGAGTGACAAGACCATAGACAACCACAATGGCCCAGAACAAGCCCAGTGAGTTATGCTTGGTTTACACTACGCCAGTACAGTGATACAGTAGCGCTGGCATAAACCCTTTTGGCTCAATAACGCCTGTTAGTTTACATTATATCAGTTGTATGCCAGCGCTGAATTTGAGCGATACTGTACTGGAATTATGTAAATAGCTTTGGCCACTTTTTTTCCTGGACAGACTATACATATAATAGGAAATATATTGTGCCAGTACACAAATAAATTCGGTAGCTATTTAGTATGGAAATGATAACGGATCGGATGAATGATTGCAGGTTCGCACATACTAAATAGCTAAGGAAACATTTGTGGACCTGGGCGCTATCCACAACGTCCTGCGGCCAATCATATACCAGCTTACGCACGATACGCTTCTTCTGGCGAGGAGAAAGTTTTCATATGTATTACAGTGATGTAACAAAAATATATAGCATTATTCTAACCACGATATTTCTGCAAGCTGTTTAATAGATAATAAAAATTTGTACATGGCAATACTCTTTGACAACACTAAAACGTCCAATAAACGATCAAATTTTCTGTCAAACTTGATTGTCAAATTATTATTGACGACTTTATTTGACACTACGAGCTTAAGTCAAACTAAATTTGACAGTCCACTAACCCTACTCTGTCAATGTCAAAAAAGTGTCACGAGAACTTTTTTTACTGCAGCTGACTTGTTTTTTTTTCTTAGACATAAAATAATGTTTTATGTCAAAACTAATTGCGACAGTTGGTTTTTTTTGTACTCAAGTCAAATATTTTGTTCAAATTTGTTCATCATCAATCATTTCCAACTTTTAGATTTGAAAATTACGAATGACTTTCATAAAGTAATACCATAGTTAATTTATTTAAGCGTCAATAGCTTAGTGGTTAAGGGTACGGATTTCCGGTCACGAGGTCGGGGGTTCGAATCCCGCCATTAGATTATTGTCGTAAACCATATCCTAGCACAAGCATACAGCTTAATTTTAATTGTAAAAGAAATATTAGTAAATTTACACAAAAAACTGCTAATATTTTTCAATAAAAAAAAATAGTGTTGCCATTTCATAACCTATGCAAAGATATCGTGGATTGAATATAAACTATCTAGCACGTTATTAGTTTATTATAATATTCATTTATTATGAAGCCTGTGAATATTTCTACAAATAGTATTCGCTACAAATCTTTGACATATTCTTTGTAGTATAAAATACATAATTTTGAACATACAAAGATTTCTGGCGAGTATACTAAAAAAAATGCATAAAAATTTTGTGTTAAATTCTTAAGAATTAGATTTCTTATGAATGTTGGTTAAAATTAAGACATGGTATGACATAACTAGTCTATATTTTGTTAAAATATTTACATATTTTCCCCCAAAATACTCATGAAAGCATTTTTCTTACGTAAGATTTTTCCTAAAGACTTTAGATATGTTATTAATTTTATATCAAATACAATCCAATAAACCAGTACCCATCCAAGTCTGAATTTGATTTATCATCAGCTCTATACGCCCTCCACTGAGGGGTTCGGAACCTATCCTAAGTTAGGAGTGACTAGGTATATAGTCAACCATACTAGCCCAGTGTGGGTTGACTTCACACATATCTTTAAGTTTAATAGTTTTATCCTATATTTCTCATAAATTTACACATGCATATATTTCACTACGTGTATGTATGATTTTGATGAGTTTTGTATGAGTTGTGTATGTACCTGATGGTCAAAGATGAGAGAGTCACCGCGCGGTCGCCAGCCGTGCAAGTTCTCCTCACCGCGTACATATGTGCCGCTAGTGTCCAGCACTCGGCGTTGTCTGCGTTGTACACCTAAATACAACAAAAATTAGAATTATTATTTAAAAAAAACCTTTAATAAGAGAAAAAAAATGTTGTTAATGAAATTGAAATCTCGAGAAGGGTATATTCGTTCCACGATTAATATGGACATATGCTCGACTTAACTAGAAATTCTATTTTTACACTCAGATTACTGAATTCACATATAGATGGCGCTGTCATGAAATATTTAGCAATTTGATGTTTGACAAAGTTTAAATAAATAGATAAGAGGTGACTGGTGACTGAACATTATTACGTTGCCTACAGTCTTATCAGAGGAGCATGTTCAACGGTCAGGTCGTACTGTACTGTGTCATACCAGGTTCGAGCGCGCGATGCAGGCTGAGCTCGTAGACTCCAGTGAGATGGTCAGCGCGTGCGGATCGCGAACCGAACAGCGCGCGACGTAGCGAGCGGCTCGAACGTTCGCGACCTACCACCACCACGGACAGGTCCTTGGTGATGATGGCCGGCCGACCGCAGTTCTCCACCTACGTGCAATATACAAATTTTGTGATTGTTCGAAACAATTAGGTGTCGGGTGCAGTAGACCCACAACTGGGTGCTGGACAACATGTCTAGTGAACCACGAGCTCCCTTAAACTTTAAATCTTATACTAAACTATATATTCATAATAACTAATTTTTATCAAGAAGACAATATCTCGAGCAACAATGATCTTGCGAAAATGTTTCAAAAAGTTGCACAGAACAATCTATGGAGATTCTTTGAAGCCTGCCATAGACACCAATCTAATTATTAGGTATTCCATGAACTTTATCTTACCTCGAGGTAAGCACTGAGGGTGATGTAGACCACCTCTCCATTAGCACTGACTCTGTTGAGCAGGGGCGAGCCGTGCAGGCTGCTGTCCCACGCCGCCTCAAATCTGACGCAAACATTCCACTCGGTTAATATTTTTTTAATTCAAACACTAATTCAGCTTTCCAAATATTCGGCCAAAAGCCTTGTCTCAAAACTGAGAAAATATAATTCAGGATTATGAGTACCGGAAGATGGCGCGGTCGTCGAGCGCAGGTCGCTCGCCGGGGAACAGGCCGAGTGAGAGCGCGCCGTCCTCGTCACCATCAGACGAGTCCTCGTTGGCTTCCGGAGTGTTGCGGATACGGCCTGGTATTCATTAAAAAGTTATTTAGCCACCTTTGTTATAAGAGAGAAAGAGATAGAAATAAAAAGTCATATGCTGGAATAGTTCTTACCGACGACGAGTTCTCGTACATCACTCCACTGCAAGTCCGAGGATGGCTCGTGCAGGATGGTGATGCGGATGCGGCGCTGGATGCCCTGATGCAGCACGAACAGTCCGCGGCACGGCAGCTCATCACTGTGCTCCACAACCTGATACATACGTTAATTGAGACTTAAGTGTACAAGAAATAATAAGAGATAAAAATCACATCGTCGCTACGTTACAGGTAACATACCAACATGTTCGCACTTGACTTGATCTATTCATTTAGCTCCAATTAGCTCATGTGTATGTAATATGTTTACTCGTGTGTGTAATTTGTGTGCTCATGTGTGTAATTTGTGTTTTATGTGTAATTTATCTGCTACTGTATTTGCTCACGTGTGTAATTTGTTTGCTCATGTGTGTGATATGTAAGTATACATGTAATATACTGACGGCAGGCACGTAGTCGCCGCTGGGAGCGAGCTCGCAGATCTCGAACCAGACGAGGAGGTCGTGCTTGGAGTGTAGATGGGAGGAGCAGCAGGGCGGGGCCACACTGGCCGCGCCCCACTTGGGGCTGCGCACGGGGGCTGAGATGGGGATAGACGGAGGCAGCATGCGACGTGGCGGCGTGCGACCTGCCACTGGACCGTCTTGCTTCGCATCCTGTGACATAGTTCCCTCGTTGAATCTGATCAACTATTAAATCGAAAACATTCATAATTCTGAAAAGTCGCTGTATTATGTTAAACAATAAAGGTTGAATAAGAAATAATAGTTTTTAATACATTTTTATAACTAAAATGGTTTGCTTTTAAAGGTATGGTAATTTAAAATGTAGTTACTACTAACCTTGTGAAGTGGGTGTTGTTGATAATGTCCGAAGACTTCGAAAACGATCGGTTGTGTCTTAATGTATTCGACGAACGATTTTGTCACCGGTACAGTTATCTGCAAGACAAAAATACGCGTAAATAACTCTTATAATCAAAGCATAAATGAATTAAAAACCATTTACTTACATTTTGTACGTGATAGAATCCAAGAGGAGTATTCTTTCCAGTGTTCTTGACGGGTTCTGTGGAGAACGCGTCTTCGTTGCGATGTAAGAAACTGCAATAAAACGTCGCAATTGAACGAGTGGTGTTTATTTGAACTGACGAGAGATGTCCTCATGTCTCGAAATTTATGTTTTATATTGGTAGACACCAGCAGCAACAACAAGAACCTAGTCCGCGTACAGTCTGATGTGTGTGCTTTCCGAATGCCTAATTTTAGTCCTTTTTCTCTTCCCACTATTTTATTATAAGGAAAGATGAAATAGGAAGGGTAAATAGTATCTTTTTGTGCGTCTACTTCTCTGTCATAGGGGCAAGCAAAAGTATTTGTAACTGTGGATGTCTATTTGTAGCAGTCACTTCGCTATTTTGGCGAAAGCAAGTGATCGCTTGCTCGTTTGTCACATTATAATATAAAAAAAAGATGTCGGTTGGTACTTCTGAGTACAAAGATGGAAGTGGTAGCAACCGATTAGGAAAGTCCACTACTTTATTTGGTACTTGGTACGAGTTAGTCAGAGAGAGAGGGGGGGAAGGGGGGATGGAGGGTTATTGAGGTATGTGCAGTGTTAGACTGACTTGAACTGGCAGAAGACATCCGCGTAGTCAGTGGAGACGGCGTGCGCCTGCAGCACGGTGACGCGGAAGGTGAAGTCCTTGCCGGGCGCGAGGTGCTCCGGCAGCTCCTCCTCCTTCAGCTCGGAGGCGAGGGAGCTGTCGCCGCGCCCGCTGTCCGCGTCGCACTCGCCCACACCCATGCCCAGCTCTGATACAACACACACGTACCACAAAAGCCGTGTTAAAATATACCTTATTTTAACTGACACTTTTTTTTATATTGTTTTAAGGATTTTTTTTATGAAATATTGTATATTTATATGTGCCGTGTATATGTCGCACTCAGAGTTGTTAAATATTTATCTATCCAAGCCATCCGACAATTCGATCATCTTAGGATACATAATTATTTTCGTTGGTGGATAAATGAACATTAATCGGTATAATACATCAGTTTTTCCTTATCATGGATCAGCACCGACCAAAACTGACCTTTACAAATGGACTGGCTATACGACATAGTATTTTGTGCCATTTTGACGCCGATAGTAGCGATGGTGTAGATTCCAACTAATAATATAGATAGAAATAAGTCACGTAACATCAACGAAGCGTAGTAAAGTTACTTCTAAGCATAGCCTATACATTTTAGAGTTCAATGGTAATAATAAGAATAGTAATCACCTTCAATTTTAATATTAGAGTCAGGTCCGTCAGCGATGCGGTCCTCCAGATTGAGTGCGTTGTTCTTGTCTACAGCGGAGAGTGTGGAGAGAGTCTTGAGGCGGGTGCGCGCGGGCGCCGCCTCGTCCTCGAACGATATCTTAGCGGATTGCTTCACACCAGCCGCTAACTCCGCGTTGTCTGGTGCGATATTATCAAAACGTGAACACTCTAAATCTTTTAAGAGTTACACTCGAACCCGAATAAGCGAGTCCGAAGCTATTTTTTGTCACTTATAGCCATTTCTTTCTAACTTATTGAGTCCATCGGGATCGGATGACTCTCGTTTATCGAGATTCGAATGTATCCAGTTGCAATATATTCGACGGAGGAATTAATATGAGAATAGAAACTGTAAAAATTTCTTATATGGTTATTATAAATTTTAAGAATTGTTAAATATTAAAAGCTTGTTATAACCCTTTATTATTTTAAAAATATAGTAAATTAGTAGTAAGTTCAAATCGATATAATTTCTTGACAACGTAGACAGGTAAACTTAAAAGCTGTTAATGAATGAATGTAACTCACTCTTTTCGGTATCGATAACCGCCTGCACGGCAACTCGCAAGTAGCCCTTCACGTCTCCTTTCTCATTCACTATCGCCACTTTGTGAATGAGTGGAACCGGATACAGCAGGTTCGAAAGGTAAACGAAGCTCCTGAACAAAGAACATATTCATTTACAATCTTACTAATATTATAAATGCGATGGATGTAAGGATAGATGGATGTTTGAAGGTATAACCAGAACGACTGTACGGATTATGATGAAATTTGGCATACATATAGAACATAGTCTGGAAGAACACATAGGCTACTGATTGTGTTTTTTTAACTCCTCGCGGACGGAGTTGCGAGCGACAGCTAGTTAATTAATAAAAAAACATCATCATCAAGAGCGTCGGTGGCTCGGAGTTTAAGCACTTGACTTGTAATCTGCAGATCCTGGGTTCAAATTTCGCCATTAACCACTTTTTTAGATTTAAATATGTTCATTTATCCGATGTTCTTAATTAAAAAAAACATCATGATGCTGCACATATCTGATGACACCCAGACTGACTAAAATTCAATTATATGTGTCAAGTCAACCCGCAGTGGGCCAGCATGGTTGACTATGGCCTAGTCACTCTTAACTTAGAGTAAGCTCCGAGCCACTCAGTGGGGACATTGAGTGAGCTGATGATGAATGAATGAATCAATCCGTTCATTCAGCAATATTTAAAAGTTATAAAATGTTGATTAGTTCAAGTTACAATACTAACCGTCCAACCATACGGAACCAGGGGAAGCGATCGTAGAACGGATCTCCTCCAGTCACAGACTCGATGTTGTGATCAGGCGAGGTGGGGGACAGCTCCGCCTCGTTGTGGTACATCTCCCGCATCAGCTCCAATCTTTGTCTGTAAACATAACACAATATCAACATATAGACAGACATACAAAAAAATTAAGTAACCACTTATGTTAAGCTAGCTTAATAAGCCGATTCTTTAGTGTAAATTTTTTAATAATAATAATAATATTTATTTAGAACGTAAATACTGCGTACTACGCCACTTTAGAATTTTCAACAATCATTTAAAATACAAAAGCGTGCAACAAACAATGGACAAGCAGATTTTTACTTAATCTATGTGCATAACATTTATTTAATAATATTTAATAAACAAAAAATAAGACCACTAAAGCTTATAAATATAAGGCTATATAATATATACGTTTCATGTCAAAATAGAACATTACAATTACAGATAAAGCAAACAGATAGACAAAAATAACTATATAAATATTTGCAAATCATATTAAAATTTGTAAACATAACAATAAACTAACCGTGGGTTTTTGATACCAAAATCATCATATAAAACACATTGTTTTCTCTGCTATGGTCAATGGAATGACGATATGTTTAAGATTTCTGATTATTTATTTAAAGTAACAATTAATTGTAATATACTTTATGACAAAGAAATCTTAAATCTATGATATTAAATAAAATATTAATATTATATGTTTAATACAGAGATTTTAGGCTCAGAAAACCATGGTAAATGACAAAAGCCTTGACAGTACACAAACGTGGAGGCAAATGTGAAAATTTACAACGTACAAAGCTTTACATTTTATTTTCAGTCAGAATGAAACACCAAATGCATAAATATCGAATTGGCACATATTTTCTTAAAACGGATACAGAATTCTGTTGACGTAATTTGAACTTCGAATTATAAAATAAACAATCAGCCGTTAAGTTTACGGCAAGCGTGATATTGCGAATTAAGCCGAGACAAGTGTAATTAAACAACAAACAAATAAAACCTTCTTCGGTAGAAACAAAACAGACTCTTAAATCAAATATGACAAAATTTTCCTTCCAAATATTCACGACTATAATTTAGTTTCGTGGACGATCGTTAGCTACGTGCACTCGAATCTAAGTGACGTTAGATTGAGCCGTGTTTGTTCGCGTGCGTTGTTTTCAGGGGTCAGGGTAGGCTGGTTCGTTTCTCCCGCACAAACCTCGAGGGCAGCAAGTTGGCTAGCGAGAGTCTGGTCTGCTGCGCGCACGCAGATATGCACTGCAGTATGTCGGGCGAGTGCGGGGCGGGCGCGGGGGCGAGCGGGGCGAGGGCGGGCTCCCCGGGCGAGGGCGGGGCGGGGAGCGCGGGCAGCGAGGGGGACACGTCCTCCTCCTCCCCGCACGTCTCGTTCATGTTGTATATCTGACGCATGAGCTCCAGGCGGTGGCTACGGACAATACACCGCCATGTACCACTGCCCCTTTCCTCCCAAAAGCCCTTACAATTTCCCCTTTATTAAACAACGCCATCCATGTTTCTATTTTCGTTGTATGTAACAAACACCTGACTTTTTCTATCCTAAGTTCCTCATAAATCAAATAAATATAATCTATAATTTTGACGTAAAAATGACGTCACGAAACCCTTCTTTTCCTTCCGGCGTAGTTAAAAACACCTTCCTACATATACTTTTCAACACGTGTGAAATGTAATGTTATAATTGTTGGCTTTGCGTTAATAATTTAATATTCAAAAAAATATGTATGTATATAGCATGATATATAAAGCCTGATGAAATAAAAATAAGCAACGAAAAATAACAAGCAGCAAACAATTTTTAAGCACAATAATATTTAAACTTATAATAAATAGCTTCTATAGATATTTATAATTTACAACATACTTTGTAAATTTTGATATATTGTACTTACCTTAATATTTAAAAATATATTTTGACAAAATATTATATCAAAAAATAATAAAATAAGCTATAGCAAAAATAAAATAAACAAAAGATAGTATAAATTTAAAAATAAAATATGTAAGAAATAAATTGTAATAATAAAAGGCAATAAAATTATAAATTGTAAAATAAAATATCAAAAAGAAGCAAATGTAATGAATTCATTGAAATTAAATATTTATTTGAAATTAATTTTCCAAACTTGTTTATTGTGTTACAAACAATAAAATTAATTTATAAAATTAAATAAATAAATGTTACATTTTAATTGTTAAATCAATTTATTTTATTATTTGTAACATTTTATTTCTTTAACATTTAATTCGAGTTTTTATAAAATATCTACAGATTTATTCGTCTAAATTTACTTTCTGAGAAAATTGTTCGAATCATGCATCTATTTCGAATTTAATTGAACCTAATAATTTTAATATTTATAAAGTTCTAAACCTATTAATATATCCCTACACTAATTTATACACCATTATCAGCTAATAACACGCAAAACTTATAAACTATATATTTTCCTATATAACGCCTTCACAAAACGATCTAACATGTATAGTTCCATTCAAACTTTATAGTGGCTTGACTTCAAACAAGACATATTACAATTTTAGTATATTTTTTTGTATTGAATAAACGCTTGACCACGATGCCATTTGATGTTAAGTTATATTGTAGAAAGGTACACGTTATTTTAGTAAAATGCCTTGTCACTGTACTCTTGAAGGCAACCACTTCATACTTGGATGGAAAATTACGCTGGCAACTTGTTCCAATCCAATCAACAGATGCAGGAGATACACGTGCGTGATTTCCTCCGAATGAAGAATATAAGAAACCAGACTAGAGGAACTTCGCTTATGTGCGTTTACTAACTTCCTAGCCGCTATAAAGTTTGAATCTTGTTATACCTATTAAAAGTAACACAATATTAAACATACCGTAGTTTCTCCAATGTCCAGTAGTGTGTAGCTCCATTCTTTGTGTCAGTGACTTCAACAGCGACGACAGTTGGTGCGCCGGGGCGGTACTCGTCATCTGCATCATCTCGTGGTGCCAACTCGCCCGGCAGGGGGGAGTAGGGGGTGTCAGTGAGAAGGGTAAATTGGAACTGAACCTTCTTACGAAGTTCCACTGATATTGCGTTCGCTTCCTGTAAAATGGATAGCTTAGAAGTGCTTGGAAATTGATTTTAAGGTTTCATTAGTAAAGGGAGTTTTCTGTTTTGCCAGCAATAACATCTTATGCACGAATATGCTCGACCTATGAAATACCACGACATCTTAAATGGAAGCAATTCCGCGTTTCGTTTGATGAGTGGGCGTACCTTAGGCCTAATTTTAGTCCTTTTTCCCTTCCATTTTCTTATAAAGAAAAGATAGGGAAAATGACGGAGGAGGGGACGCATAGCAAGGGGAAATGTTTTCTTTCAGTACGTCCCCTTCTCCGTCGACTAAAGATAGACATCGAATATGCAATTGTAGATATTTTTTTAAGTGGCTTGTTTTTTTTGCCACCTTATGATGTTTTTTCTCGAATAGTTGTGTATTTTACCTTCAAGAATATAGCGTTGCCCCAGAGGTCGTCCCGCAGCGAGGTGAACTGGTGGTACTTCCACTTGCGGAACGCCCACGCGGCCAGGCCGACCTCGCGCGCCGACCAACACTCTGTCTCAAACAGGGGGTTCACTACATGGACCAAACCGATGTGTTACCATACGCTCATGCATTACCCCTGCACCATACATAACACGTCTCTGGGAATTTACATCTACCCACAAATTATTGTAACTTTACAATGTTTTCAAACAACTTTACTATTAGTATTATAGTTAATATAGACACAAAGCCGAAAGACATAAATATTCATTTTTTTTCAATTTTTTTCACAGCAAATTCATAACGAGTTTTTCAAATAACTATTAGAATTTGCTATAGCTTGTTTTCGTTTAAGAATCTTTTTTTTAAATTTTTTTATTAAATTCATAAAAAAATTGTATTTTCATTGAGTTTTACAAGAATATATTCCCAGCTACGTTTATGTATGAAAAATAAAGAAATTTAAAAAAAAAAAATTACGATGTTATTATGTTTCATGGCGTATTGAAAGTTGTTTTGCTAATTTTAATGATATATGATTTTTATCAATGATATAAATTCTACATCATACTTTAAATATTAAGTATTAAAAATGAAATCAACTGATCGTAATTTTAATAAAATGTATGGATTTTCTTGAACTACATAAGTTAATTGATCAAAAATATGAAAACTTTTCCATGCCTGTCATATGCATGCCTGTCATATGCATGCCTGTCATATGCATGCCTGTTATATGCACGCTTGTCATATGCAAGCATTTAATGCAATAAAATGAAGTTAATTTATAAATGTTCTAGTTAAATCTAGACTTTTTATAAATGTTCCCAAATAATTTATCAAACATTTATTATGATTCAATTGTAATAGAAATTACGCATGCGCTATCATGCGCATTCTCAATTTCTTAACACCATGCAAAATGTATGAATTTGTATGAAAAAAATACCTATTAGCAAATTTTAAAAACTGTGCAAGGCATAGTTTATGGTATAACCGTACCAGAATTTAATTAAAAGTAATAACGATTATTTATGTCATATTGATTTTTATAGTAATCGATTTCAAATCAATTTAATCGCACTCTGGTGTGGATATACCTTTTTTTAAATATTTAATGAACTCACCAAAGATATCCTCATCATTGTGGAAGTCCTCCGGCGTGTAGGAGCTGTACATGGACATGGTGACACTCTGCTCCTCCACCTGACGCTGCAGAGCATCTATACGGGCTTCGTAATTCTAAACAAATGTTAACAATAATTTAAATTACATTTTTTACTATTACGGAATTAGAAAGTAAATTATAAAGTAGCCTACGTGTTCTTCCAGACTATGTTCTACATCTATGCCAAATTTCAGCGAGATCCGTGAAGCCGTTCCGAAGATACCTTCAAACAAACATCCATCCATCTAAAACATTCGCATTTATAATATTAGTAAGATAGCTCAATTAAGTTTGAGGAATCATCATCAACCACGCTGGCCAAGTGCGGGTTGGTGGACTTCACACATATCTTTGAATTTCTTCTCAGACCTGTGCAGGTTGCATCACGATGTTTTCCTTCACCGTAAGAACGTCGGATAAATATACATATGTAAGTCAGAAATCGGAAACACATTGGTAGATGGTGGGATTCGAACCCAGGACCTGCAGATCGCAAGTCAAGTGCTTGACCCCTGAGCCACTGGCGCTCTATTTGACGTTTGAGGAATACATTGATAAAATTTTGACAAATATATTTGACTATTGATCGGACGACTTTGACATGTCATTCACTAAACTGACTGACAAAATCCGGCAAGAAATTTTATAATCTCAAGCTGTCACCCGCGACTTTTTCCGCCTCGCCTGAGTTATCCTGTACTGTAAATATCTGCAACAAATTCCATCCAAACTTGTTTACTTGTTCTGGATTAATAGTGAAAACATCCATACATCCATTTTTATATCATTATATTATAAAATACGAATGATTGGATGAATGAATGCATGGATGGATGTTTGTTTGCAGGTATCTACAGAACGGCTAAACGAATCTCGATGAAATTTGGCACACATATAAAACATAGTCTGAGAAAACACATAGGCTACTAATTATGTTTTTTTTTAATTAAAGTAATAGGTAATATAAACAGATATGGGCTATGTTAGACATACCTTCCTCTGCTCCTCAAACTGCTGGTCTGCATGCTCCTTCTCCCTGCGGAACTGCTCCTCGAGGGCGAGCAGCCGCTTCTGCATCTCCGCCTTCAGGTCGATGCCCTGCTTCTCCAGCAGCTCGCATTGAGCGAAGTCCCAATCTATGTTCTCACCATCCTTGCCTTCTGTACAAGCAATTATTACATAAGTGGAATTTGTAAAGAAGATTCAGGGACAGATTCAAAATTCATAGCAATCATAGATATTTGAATATGAAAGGTGTTAGAACTACACCAAAAAGCGCTCTAATCCCCTCCCCTGCCACCTCTGAGACATGGGGGTTATTCATTTTATAGTTTTATTTATTTTTTAACTAAATGAATTCCTTACCGTCGTTATTAGTTTCAATAATCTCAGTATTGTTGGTGTCAGCGAGCTCCTTGCTGGCGATGGTGGAGGGCTCGTAGCGCTGTCCGGGGTGCGTGAAGCGGAACACGTGGTTCTTGCCCAGGATCACACGGGAACCAGTCTTCAGGATTATTGGCTCGTGCACCTGAACAAAATCATTCAATAGTAAAAAACTCTCTAAAGAAAAAACAAATTTAATGATATCTTATTTCTGCACTCAATGAAGTTACAGCTACTAAGGAAGACCCTAAGTGTAGATTTCTCATATTACACTATGATCTCTACAAAGGTTCTTTTGATGAATCTGGTACATTGAAAATCAATTTAGTTCGCCGTCAGTTTACAATATACCTAGTTCGATTATAAACAGGCGAAGTTACCGTACCTCACGTCCGTTGACGTACACGAGGGCGCCATGATGCGGGATGAGACAGATGACACCGTCTGTGTTCTCGAATATGCAATGCTCACTGAGGATGTGAGAGCCCGACAGCTGGATGTCTTGTGGCACGTTCGCCTCCGATGTACCCAAGCGAGTCACACCTTTCATGGAGAAATTTAAAAAATATAAGTGCTATAAGACAGCTTCATATCATGTTTGACATTATATAGAAACCATATACAAAGAACTCTTAGCAGTATTAAAAAACATCCTATAACATTCCCGCGTGCTTAAGCTACCTTCCATTCCAAGTCCCGTCAAATTCGGTTCATCCGTTCCGGAGATTACCCGGAACAAACGTGGCTTTGCGAACATACATACAGACAGACAGACACGCAGAGACAGAAAAAAATTTACAATTTTTTTTTTAGTTATCAGCTACGCAAACACATCTTGTGTACTTAAGAATTTTTTTCTCGATACCACATACGGTACGATACCATATTTTAATATATCTATATTATGCAACACCTATCCTTTTAAGAGAACTTGTAACTCACCATCTTTAATATAATATATGAGACATTCAGAGAGATTAGGATCTTCGTTCAAGTTGACGAGATGTGGCGTCTTCTTGGGCGAGTACACGCCCACAGTGATGCCCTCCTTCACCGCCACGCCCATCTCCGCGAACACCGCCTCGCGCTGCACACGGATCTGCTCCGTGCGCTTCAGTTTCTCCTCCCACGTCTCGTTTAATTCTGTTACCAGGAATAAATATATAAATTAAATATTCCCTGTCTTTTCTGACAGTGAAATCGAAATAATCTAACAAAGGATAGGAAAAGAAAAACTCTTCTATATGTCCCATTTTCTGTCCCCAGGTATAACACAGCAACTAAAACTTAGTTTCCATCTTGTTAAAACATAATTAATATCTTCTTTAATTAAAAAAATCTAAAATTCGGTGGATTTTAGTGTAGAGTTTAAACTTACCGGCAATAAGTTTCTCTGAGGCCTGTAACTGATCAACTGCTTCTTCAGCTATAGTGGTCGCAGCACGCGACAGTTTGGGAGACAGCACCGCCTCCTCGCTCTTCTTGCGCGCCGGAGATGTCTCCTCGGCTGTTTTAACACGTTACATTTAAATTGTGATAGACAAGGACAGCTAGATATAAAAAGCTACTGAAATAAATTTTAATATTCGTATTTAAAATACAGTAATTTTAAGGCATTTCGTTGTCAAGCATGTAATGTTAACTTAAGTACTGTAACATTTTTAAAATATTAGTAGATTTTTAGTTAATTTACTAATATTTCTTGTACCATTCCAACTAAGCTCTTTGTTTGTGCTAGAATATGGTTTTAAGATAATAGTCGAACGGCGGAATTCGAACTCCCGACCACGTGATCGTAAAAACGTACTCTTAGCCATTAGGCTATAGGCGCTTTAACTACTATACTTCCACCAAACTGTATAATATGTTTACCAAATATATTCTGTGCTAAAAATTGTAACAATTTATTATATGCAGTTTTATATTACTTATGCAACCACATTCAACCATTTTGTTAGAGAAGGTGACACTTTTAATCCCCGTTACCTTATTATATGACATGATCAGTTTGAGTTAAGTTTTTTTTTTTATTTCGTACAAAAAAAGTTAAAGTCAATTCGTCCTTCAGTGTTTTTAGTGTTTTCTTCGTTTTGGAACATATTTTAATGCTATACAATAGAAAAAAATCTCTAAGTTTACTGCACAGATTATAAAATCTATATTTTTGTTCTTTCAAATATAATTAAATATAAGAAAAGAACATTTTTTTTACTGTACGGGAAACATGCAAATGCTCGACGAAAGCTATTAAGCTTTTTTATTATAGCAACACATATTGACACAAAAATATATCCGTCCGCGACCTCCAGCCATAGACATTTTTTTGTTTTTTTTTTTTTAAATATAATCTTTGAGGTCTTTGCATTTGCAATATTGCTTTAGCTACTGGCCAATATTTTGCATTTGTAATTGGCCGCGAACGGTCTTAACGTAAAATATATAACTGAGCATTTTCATAGAAATATATAAAAAAAAAGTTTTTAATCTTGTTGCCAGCTATAGCATATATGTAAAAACATTTAGACTTGAAGCTAAAATGCTCAGAAATTTCCACTATATTTTTTCGAAACACAAAGAAAAAAAACACATCGAATACATATCTAATAATATATAATGAATTTAACACCAAAATAATGACGTAAGCGCTGTATATAAAAATTAACTTATTTAAATATTAAATCACTCCATAATATTTGAAATAATTGTGAAGTGACTGGATATATATTTATAATTGGTACAACGCCACAAGCACTGGAGTAAGGGTGCGAAATTGCTAATATTTTCTCATATGGGGTTGCCAGAGGAATGTCCAAAATGATTATACATATTTTTGGATCTGGCAACCCTGGAGGAGGCCAAGCGTACAGGTGGGGTGTACATATGCAATGCACAAGCCTCTTTACAATAATTACTTACTGATGGGTTGTTCTTTCTTTTCATAAAGGACTCTACCATCCGGTCCTAGATCGGTTGGATTTTTGAAACAAAAGTTAAAATTTAACATCAAACATTTGCCATTTGAATTTTAAATCTAAGTTTGTGGCGTTACGTTTCATTTTAGCATGATAACATTCTATGCGTAGACACAACGATCTATCGATTCACATGACTTCAAAGCAACCTAGTCCTTATTTGTATGTTGATAAAGTTATTTTTGGCTTACCCTCTTCGACGTCGATTCCTTCTGCCTTGAGAAGTTCGCGCAGCTTGAGAATCTCTTCTTTGAGCTCCCGGATGAGTTTCGCGTTGGCGTCCTCGTTGACGACAGCCTTGCACACGATCTGTTTAGCTCGGTCAGCATATCTAACGGAAACAAATGAGTTTAATTACACTTATAGTTATTCTAGATTAAAAAAAAGAAAAAACTCCTAAAGTCAAACAAAGATATCTAGTATTACCATCAGAAATTATTTGAAACCTACGCTGGCAAAGAAAATGGCATAAAACACATGACATTTACATTATGAAATAAGATTTTGGGTCATCTTTTGATATTGACAGGAGGGCGTTAGTGAGCTATTATAATTTAGTTGAAGTCTGTCTTTAAGCATTCATAAAATATCATCAAAGCAATAAAGAAGCTATGATCCAGAAATTACTGCTAAATAGAGTAAAGAGTTCTCCTAAATTTCCTACCCTTCTCCCAACTGTGTTTTTTTCAACACGTCTGCCTTTAAACATCGTTTTGCAGCTTCACTTGCTTAAAACTTTCTATTATAAAAAGGTATATACCTAAGAGTGCTGAGTGTTTCATCGTAGTTAATATCTGCAGGAGATATGGCAGCGATCATGGCTGTCTTGGAGTTGCCGCCGAGATTCTCTCGCAGCAGCCAGGTGAGTACAGAGTCGCGGTACGGGATGAAGTCTGCTTTCTTTGACTTCTTGCTCTTTGACGCCTAAGTTGTAATTATTCATTTAATACTATTTTAATATAATGTAAAAAGAATCTTAATGCTCTTCTGCTTCTAATTTTTTTTAAAGGAAAAAGGAAAAGTTGATATGGCGAGGAAGAGAATGTCTATGTTTTCTGTTACCAGGAACTTCTAGAATGTCTATGGGTAGTGATTACTTTGCTATATAGCTTGCACTTTTACTGCCGTGTACTATAAAAAATGAACTGTGCCCACAGCTAAAAAAGACTCTAGAAAGGAAATAAAAAGTGAACTTAATTTCTGAAACTTTCTACAAATCATTGAGCGCTCAATTGAATATGTTAATAATTTCAAATGACATTTATTAGAAATGTATGCATTACTCGAACCTCGGTAAGCAAGTAAACTTTTAGAAGCGAGATTCATTATCCCGCTCTTAAGGACGACCTCCATAAGCAAGAAAAATATATAATCAAGGAAAATATCTTTAGGCTCTCGCCTATCCAGGTTCGAGTGTATATCCAAAATATCTATATGAAGCGGAATTCCGATCATGAGGTCGGGGGTTCGAATCCTGCCATTCGATTATTGTCGTAAAACATGTCCTATCACAAGGATAGAACTTAGTTGGAATGGTACAAGAAATATTAGTAAATTTACGAAAATCTGCTAATATTTTAATAAAAGAAAAAAAAACTAAATTAAAGTTGCCTAATATAAGTGTTATAGAATTTGGCTACATGTAATTTAAGCTAAACACGCTGTATAATGATTTAAAATAACAAAGTCAAAAGCGTTTTTCATAATTCGTATGACAAGACTTACCGACTGTTTCCGAACGAATGTAACGCAGTGAAAGTTGACAAAGTATTATGAGAAAATATCATGATTTTTTTTTATTAACTAGCATGATTTAGCTATTTTTATTTCGATGGCAAAATCGAGATGATTTAGCAAAATGAATGTGCTCAAAAGTAGACAAAAAACGATCTAGTAAAGATATTTTTAGCCTACATAATTAAATTATTCAAACTTTCGTGAGACATTATACTAACCTGATATATAAACACGGCTTAACACTCACGTATATTCGTCCGGTGGCGGCACTGACTAGTTTCGAGCCCATCGGGGGACCCTTCATCGGGATGAGTCATCAGGTGGGTGTGGAATGCTCATTCAGTGAGCGACGGGCCGCGTCGGCGAAATAATACCAGTACCACTCATCCTGATGAAGGGTCCCCCGATGGGCTCGAAACTAGTCGGTGCCGCCACCGGACGTATATACGTGAGTGTTTAGTCGTGTTTATATATCAGTTTACATAATTAAATTCACAAATCTGTGTATTTTTATTTAGAATATTCCTTTATTATATTATATTATTTTTATACAAACTGTGTAATATAAGAAAAAAATCTCTCGGGAAACCATAAACATGACTGTTTAATTTTAATAAAAATGTAATAGACAATTTATAAAAGTTTTAAATTGACAAACAAAATATCAAAAAATTATTATAGCTGTTTTTTTTAATCGAATAATCTATAACACTTTATAACAGCCAAATTATAATATAAAATTCTGTATTCACAAAACAATGTACTCACGATTTCAGCCAAGGCGGAAATAACTTTTCCGAGGGTAGTCAGAGACTTGTTGATGTTAGCACCCTCTTTGAGACGTGTGCCTTTAGCTCCGGTGGAGTCTGCACGTTCAGACCCGGCCAGATCCACCAAGGATATCTTTGACACCTGGATAAAAGAAATTTACTAAAAAAATTCTATCCAACTCAAAAAAATTCTCTACCCAAAAAAAATTTTTTTTCATAATTTTTTTTTCTAAAATCCATTAATTTGTTACCTTTTCTGACATAAGGTTGGTGGTTTTGTCATGTCGTTGTTGTGTGAAGAATATCGTAAAGACGGCGTGCGAGCGAGAAGACGTCTCGTTCATGTTGGTCGCCGCGACGGTCCTGCGACAAAGTGATGTAACTCAGAAATCTATATTAGTTATTGACAACTAAAAACCATATTATACTCAGAGGTATCCAATTTTCGCCTCTCGTTTTAGCAACAAGGACTTTATTAATTTTGAAATATTAGGTCATTCCATTTCTATTTTCACCAAAATATTAAAGTCAGATAGACTTTTTGGTCCTTTAATTTAATACCTATATTGGGAGTCATTAACCTATCTTACGGTGGGTTTCTGATACCTAAATCTCTGCATAAAACTATCATCCCGGTCATTATCTTTGTCAAAATAGAGATAGCATGTTTCAAACAGAAATGATGGTCTCAGAAACCCACAGTTAGTGATATGTTCCATGTCCCTACTTGGTAACCTAAGTCTGTCTCCAACATACCTAGCCTTGTTGCCCTCATCAATGAGGTCATATATATCCTGGTAGGAGGTGACTGCGAGCTTGCTGAGGTCCTCCACATAAGGACCTAGGGCGGGATGCTCGCGCACACGCAGGTTACCCTTGTTCTTAGGGTTCAGCAGGTCACGCACCCGCTCGCAGTATATCTCCATGTATGATACTTCCACCTATGAAAGATAATTTAAATTAACTTAATTTCAACACAAATAATGTTGCTATATGAAATAGTCGTTCTGTAAGACAATGTTGTATGGAGTATACGCAAAAATTATGAGAACTAATAAACGAAAACCTTAAAAGTGATTTAAACCATAGTGTTTAGAAATTCAGACTGGCATACTGTATTCCAAATTATTAACTACATATTTTAATTTCCCTAGCTTTTTTATTCCTAAACAGGGCTTTGTCTCTGTTAAAACAGTTTATAACTTACAGAGTATTTTAGGTCATCGCAGGTAGTTTGTCGTATGCGACGGAAGAGGTCCTTGCAGATCTGAGGGATGATGCCCTCCTGGCCATCCTCCCCGCGGCCCATCATCGTATAAGATTTGCCAGCGCCGGTCTGGCCGTATGCGAATATACATATATTGTATCCTAAGACAGAGAAACACGGGGTAAGTATTCCATCACCACATCTCCCACACACACACGCACACATACCCTTCCCCCTCCCACACACACACACAGATATGCATTAAATTAGAAGAGTGAATAGACACTTACTAAGCTAGCGGGTACCATTTTTCGACCAAATCTCCACTTCACCAGGTGGGATCGTGGTCAAGCGCTAGCTAATAAAACGTAAAAAAAATTGTAATATATATATATATATACCGTCAAAAGCATGTTGCAACATCTCCTCCCCGATGTCTTTATACACCATAATTTGGGAGGAGAATTCGGGATCATTGGGCTGGAACAAAATAAATCATTAAAATTTTAATTCGATTAAAATTAACTTTATACAATTAAATAAGCAAGTTCGTAACATATTACCAAAATCTTTTCAGAAGTGTGAATATGACGAATACATTATGGTGAATTATTTTTAACATTTCATTAAAAATTTATCAACACGAATGTCTAAATCAAAATGTAAGAAACTCTGTGCCACTAAGTTAGTTGTAGTTATTTTACTATTGAATAAAACACAAAGCAATGCGTATAACTTTAGTATAATTTAATATTCTAATCCTTTTAAGCACAGTCGGGTCGAAACAAACCCAAGTTACTCATAATTTGCATAAATAATCATGGTTCCCAAAATCTCTAATTAAATTTGTTACAATAAAAACACTTTCACTGGCATCTTCAATATAAAAGACATTTTGCTTGTAGTAGAATTGTTTTATGCACGATATAAGACACCAGGAAGCTAAATATGGAGTCGGATTGTTTTCTATTTAAATAAAAAATAATAGAAGACAAGATGTTGAAATTTAGCTAGAATACAAAAGAAGGTTTGCGACCTTACAGAACCTACAAATAAAAGGGCTTTTCATTTTTTATTAATCCTTTTGTAAGCCGTAAAAAACTTGATTGTTTAGAGTTTAGTCTTTGGCATAAGTTTATTAAAAACGTATCAAACTATCAAAATAACGAGGAAACATATAAACTTAAAATTCGCACATTCATATTTAAAATACGAATAATGTAAGAACATGTACGTTCAATACGGAAGCCATATTTGTTGGCTACAGATAGCCAATCCGATAATCCTCTTGCGACTAAATCCAATATGGCCGCTGTCCAAAACGGACGACCACGCTGTTTTGACCATAACAAACTCATAATTAATCGGTTTAAAATTTGCCAATAATATTGAATGTTTCAACTTGTAAAAAGATTTTAATGTGTAGTAATTATTTTACAATAATTTAATCTTACTAATACTATAAATACGATAGTTTGGATGTCTGGATGGATATTGTTAGAAGATCTCTACGGCTCAACGGCTCTGGGTGAAATGTCGCATAGATATATCTTAACTAATATTTAAATCTCATTGCTAATATTATTTACTATAAATAAAATTTTAAGGCGCTTTACTGATTTTCAAAAGTCGACTGAAAATTTATTTCTTATCGTCCATAGAACTCCAGAACTTAGGGTAGGTTTAGATCCCTGTTATGAGTTGGCAACACATCAATATCTATGGACAATAGTTATCTAATTACAAACACCAGACTGAATAGGGTCACAGTAAGCAATCAGCGATTCCATTAAGTTTCCATCTCCCCTCTATTGGCACAGGAAATACGAGCCGCGGACCGTGGGCGGGCGGGCTACTAAATCGATTCTGTTGGGCGGATGCGCAAGCTAATACGCTTAGAAATAAATGTCTTAATAACTATGTTTACGAATACCTTCATTCAGTTGGTTTCAAATAATCTTACTAATATTTAGATGGATGTTTTTAGGGTTCCGTACCTCATAGGAAAAAATGGAACCCTTATAGTTTCACTTTGTTGTCCGTCCGTCCGTCTGTCAAGACCCTTTTTTTGTTTGAAGGTATCTCCGGAACGGCTGAACGAGTTTTAATGCAATTTAATTTCGCGCGGACAGAGTCACGGGCGACAGCTAGTATTTGCGATAAAAATAAAACAATACTTACGTTATGTGACCAGTAGGAAAAGTCAAAGTTGAAACTTTTTGGTGGTTCCTTGTTGCCCGGAGGGGCTTTCGGATTCATTATCACTGTAACAAAGATAATATAAATAAAAAACATATCCCGTCATCGGTAACATTTTCTTTAAAAAAACAACAGCCATCATATGCTTATATACAATTGTTACGACAGTGGAAACACACATTTACATAAATAACATTAACTTTACACAAGCCATTTAGATCGCAAAAGAATTATCATAAAGTATTCTTAAAAAAGTACTCTACAAGTACGAGATGAAAAGTAGACTGAAATTATTATTTTGAAGTCTTTATTGCTTGATGTTTGAGACATCTCCATCATAGTGGTCCTTCAGCTCGCGATAAAACGTAGAACTGTACACATATATGTATATAAAGGTACTCGTGATAAAAAGTATATCCTTTTGCGTTTATATTTGAGTGGTAAATGTAGACGGTAAGGTGTCAGGGGTGCGACACCAGTCCGTCTGGCGCGACGTATCGACCGACGTCGGCGTCTACAGTCAAGTTAGTAAGACGGTAAAGGATATCACTTGAAACAAAGGAAACTCTGGCGATACCGAAATATGAGAAAGTAACGAAATAGAACCAATAAAAAATATTTAAAAAGATGTTTGAATGTTGAAATCTTTTTTTTTACTTTAGATTTCTTAAATTACTTTAAATCACGGAAAATTATAAGTTTATTACGTGTATATTATAATATATATATTATAATAATATTTCACGTAACTAAGTGATAGACTTGCTTAGTTTCTACCATGGTAATATACCTCTCATTCTCTTTCAGAAAGCTGATACATGATTTTATACAGGTGTTTCAGTAGTGAGACATTATTCCAGTCCAGCGAATGAATTCTTCACTAGATTACAACTGGAAAAATATAAACTCAATGTGAAACGCCTTTAAGGATTCCAGTGTGTTTTCATGTTTCTAGTTGAAATCCAGTGCTATATTACAGCGAACTGGTATAGTGAACTTAGCATAAATACCCGACTGGTTACTACATTTAAGCAACCTTAGGTACGACCTGAAATATAAATCCTAAAACTGAAAATCATCTTGTATTGCAACATAAAAATAAAACTACTTCCGACTCGAAGTCGCCATCTTGTTTTTCTTCCCCTGGTTTTATGAGTCATCAAGTTGCATCGCGCAACTACAACCCCCTACTCCCAACCCCCCTTATTGCAGTTGCCAAGGAAACGTAGACATATACTGCCAACCTCTAGAGTAAAAACTACATTTACGGTGCACTGGGTTTATATTAAATTGAAAACTGTAAAAGTTTGATTTACTCGTACGTGACGAAAGAACATAAAAGAGGTCCTAACGTTAAAAGAGATGTAGGAAATTACTTTTAGCGTATTATAGCGTACATTTTCTACTTTTATTTAAGATTTACTTTAAAACTTTATGGATCTACAGCTTTAAATTTGTCTGGGGATGAAATAGCGTATGCTGTCCACATTTTATTTGTACCGCGTACTCTATTTATTTATTTTTCTTCTTCATTACAAATTGATTGATACGAATAAAATGACACGAATTGAAATTCACTAGAGAAAATCAAGAATCAAAACATCTCTAAATTCATTACTATTGCAACAGTGAAATATAACAAAATAATACGTCATTAAAACTCTATTATGAATTGTTACATTAATAAATATCCAAGTAATATTTATAATAAGTCGAACATAGATTGTATAGAAAACGTAAATCGACTATAAAATCCTTTGTGTAAACAGCGCAGTCGAGGTCAGCGGCACAAAAACTAACGAATACAGAACAGTATCGACCATTGCATTACGAATTACAATACTACAACGAGAAATTAAACTCAGTAATAGTTAATGGAGCACTAAAAGGGTGTTTTACTTTAAGTTTCTCTTTCCATTTTATTCACTAAATCTACACTAAGGGAGATCGCAAGAGTGCAACAGGAAATATTTACTGTAAAGCAAAGTCATCATCATCAATCTGCCCTTGTCTCCACGGAGGGTCGGCGTAGTACACGCCTCCATACATCTCTATCTTACTTCTTACTGATCCTATAAATGCGAATGTATGTATGTATGGACATAGATCTTGCTGAAATTTGGCATTGACATTAGCTACAATTTTTTTTTTTCATCCCGCTTGGACAGAGTCACGGGCGACAGCTTGTCAGCTATAAAGCAAAGTAACCATATATTTACTACTGCATAAATTAAAGTTGAAATTTAAAAACATAATTTTATCTCATATAGTTTCAGGTCGTTGGCTACAACGAGCTCTCAACAAAACAGTGAACTAGACAAAGCCTTTGTTACAACCTCTTACACCTTTGTCATATTTACCGAGCTCTGGGAAATCTAATAAACCCTACCGCTGCAAATATCAACGAATTTCATTTTCCTTTCCGTAGTATTCTGTTTCATATTATATTGTTTTGAAGAATAAAGAGATAATATAATAACATATAGGGTGGTATTTAATACCACATATAGAGGAAATTTCTTTTTTTAAAGGTAAATTACCAAAACAAGCATTAAATCCTGAGAAAATAGGGATTATTTTTTTATAATTAACTGAATAAGTCAGTGACATTTCTTAAAAAAAATTCTTAGCTAAACTATAAGTTATTTATTCGTAGTAATAAGTAATTAGTTATTTAAAAACATATTTAAACAACTTTACAGCTCAACACTAAAGTAACTTTAATTAATAGCTATAATAATTAACTCATCCAAATGCAGAACAAAGTCTAACAACATTGACTATTCATTAAAAAGATAAATAAGATATTCAGTAACATGAGAGGTCAAGAAACGACAGATGAGTAGAGGTCAATAGACGTCTGGGCATGAGTCATATGGTGTCCTGTAGACTTACAGTGTACTGAGAGGCGACGAAGCGATTAATTCGATATAGTCGTTCAACGACCTACCATAGACACAATAGGAACCTTAATATTACTAATATTATAAATGCTAATGTTTAAATGTTTGAACGGATTGATGTTTGTTTGAAGGTATCTCCGAACGGCTGAACAGATCTCGATGAAACTTATAAAACATAGTCTGGAAGAACACATAGGCTACTCATTAACTTTCAGGGTTCCGTACCACATAGGAAAAAAACGGAACCCTTATAGGATCACTTTGTGTTAATTCCGCGCGGCCGGAGTCGCGAGCGAGAGCAAGTTATTCTATATTCTGGAGAAGTTTCAATACATTGGCTGGTTGATAGAAGGCATCATAGAAGAAGTTAATAAAGCAAATCCCTCTCGTTTTCCTTGGGAAAACATAAACTATTGAATGTTTGTATAGAATTTGGTATAGGAAGTAATTGAATGTTGTACCTATACCAAATACACACACACACACAAATGTGTCGGTAGGTGAATCTCATAGTAAGAAGACTAAACGACAGTTTCTATATTAAAAATCTCCGTTTAAAAATATTGTCATCTCCGTTTTGGCAAAGAATGACAATACGGTTTATACAGAAATTTTGCTCTCTTTCTTCATAAAATCGTTTTTTTTTCTTCGACTAAATTGTATTTTAACTTTAAATCAAATTCAACGTTTTATTCGTGCTTCACACGTTATAAACGTAACCACCTAATATCTACGTAATTTACTCAGTTACTATCGCGTGCCTGACTTGACGCAAGACCCCTTCCAAATTGAACTTTACCCTGGATTACTTTATTGCTATATACAACGGTCCTTATGCTGCCGGCTTTAAAAATATCTCACAAATATGTAATGAATGATATTTAAACATAAGTTCTTTGGTCATTTATTTATTAGACCAGTTGCTTTTGAGTTTAACCACAATTGAAGAATGTTTTATAAGAGACTTACAATGTCTATTTTAGCTACTTTGTAGACGGTAAAGTTAAATAGATAATATGAAATAGAAAGATAAGATTTATTAACAAATAATTCCACTTTATAATTAGATTAGCTTAAAAAATATATCGTTGTCTGAAATAAACTTATCAATACTGAAGTCACCATCATCACCGCACTATAAGTTCCGTACTGAACGGCCAGTAGCCTACCTTTAGTTAGGGGTAACTAGGTCATAGTCGAACCCAGGACCTCTAGATAACAAGACAAGTGATTAACCCCTGAGCCACCGATGCTCCTTGCTGATGTCACTAACATTAAATTGTTCTATTAAATATGATCCCAGTGTGTGGATGTTGACGTTATAGTATAAACAGTTTAATAACAAACTAATGCATATTAATGGACCCCAGATTGACGCACGCTCTGACGTCACCGCACCCCACTTCGTGCTTTATCACCCACCGCACCACTGACTTTGAACTTGAAAATTTAAATAAGATGTTTTACAAATTTCATGTAACATGAGTTTCTGATCCCATAATCTCTGTATAAAACATATCGTCAGACAGGGAGTGTTTCATTTTCGACAAAACTAGTGCGACGATTTTGGTCTTAGAAACCCACGGTTACTTAAAGCATTGCAAACTGCATTTAGATAAAGGAATATTCTGTTAATAAAAATTTACCACCAAAGATACCCTAAGATAGCGAACATTTTTTATAAAATAATTTTCTGACCCCTGTTTTTGTAGTCAATTTGAAACTTAGTTATTATTAAATGCCATCAAAGATTAGCGAAATAATCCCTAAATACCAGTGTAGAAAACTTTTTAATTAAACAGAGAAAGGCCGTATAATATAAATATTTGACTCCAAGAATGTTCTAGTGAATTACATTTATTGTGAAATATTTAATGATATAAATAGCAAATAAAAAGTATATCAAAACCGTATACTATATTCAATATTCCTTTTGTTAAACTAGGTAAGAATTAAACTGATATATAAACACGGCTAAACACTCACGTATATTCGTCCGGTGGCGGTACCGACTAGTTTCGAGCCCATCGGGGGCCCTTCATCAGGATGAGTGGTACTGGTATTATTACGCGGACGCAGTGAGCGACAGGCCGCGTCCGCGAAATGATACCAGTACCACTCATCCTGATGAAGGGCCCCCGATGGGCTCGAAACTAGTCGGTGCCGCCACCGGACGAATATACGTGTTTAGCCGTGTTTATATATCACTTTAGTATAATGTCTCACGAAAGTTTGAATAACTTAATAGGTAAGAATTATTTAGAATAGAATCTAACGGTTACGTAAAGGTTAAATTCTTTAGATAAGAACTTATTTGTACTAGTGTTCACCTAATCGTCGAAAGACCATAATTTATAATCTGAGATTAATTTTATTAAAAAAGTTTTACGCACATTTACAAACTACGTCAAATTTCATGGTTATATGTTAAAAGGGTGCAGACGAACCTAGATAATGAAGAAACCTTTATTAGCGACAAAAATATTGCGGTCCATGGAGCATAGCTGATCTTGGTTCGACTATACGAATTCTTCCCTTCACGTACTTGTAACGATAACAAAATTACAATGTATTTTATTAATATTAATTATGTAACATTATGTATATATTTTTTTAATAAAAAGCTCTTAGAGCGCGTGTACCTAAATACTTTTAGTTACCTAACTGCAATTACAGTTTAAAAATAAACGGGTCCTGGAATTAAATGAAAACTACCTTTCGCTGGAAGCTGTACCGTTCAGAAGTGGAAGTTTTCCCGACTGTAAAGTCGACTTTATAGCAAGTTCCTCGGCTCTTAATTAAAAGTCCTTTAGGATTTTGTATTTAATTTTAAATCGCAATCGTTTATCGCAAATGAAAAACTTAAAGAAAAAGTATTAATAATTATTTTACATCATTAAACTTAAGTATTTTTGCATCATATCGAAATTGTAACTATTTACATAAATTATGTGCTTATTGATTTTTAATTATTATATAAATTCCAAGTTTATGTAAACTATATATGTGAAAATCAATTGGTTTTCGTTAATCTCGCTAAGACATAAAAATTCGAGAACGGATTTATCTAATCTTAGTCTTGAAACTCGTGGAGGTCTTGGGAAAGTTTTAAAACTTTTTTTTAATTCTACGCATACGGAGTAGCGGGCGACAGCTAGTTTATTATAAAATAGTAAAAGTACAAAGCTGATTGTGATAGTATTAAGCCTATGCATTCAAAAGCTTAGCTGTTAACATCATTGTATGAGGAACATGCGAGGGAGTCATTAATAACCGTTACGCCTTTTTTATCGCCACATCGCACTTTATTCAGGATATTTTAGTTTTTATTCTGCTATAAACGCCAATCTTCATCAACGAGGGTCAAGAGGTCAGCATTTCTACAAAAACCTGTTAGCTAGTGTTAGGAAGAAAATCCGATACTGTGGTGGTGTATTGACGCAACACTAGCCTTACTAAAATGTCTACGTTTATGTGCCCTCACTATTCATTCTGACACTGGACTTTGTAACGAAAGCACGTCTTCCGCGGCAAAGAATTCTAACTGATAATGTCTAAAAAGATAAATGATAACTTCTAAATGTTCACACTTATTAAAATACAAAATAATTGGACATCTTTCTTCTTTGAGAAAAACGTTAACAATCATTGATTCCTAAGAAAGTACACAAAAGACAAATTATTACGCAATTCCATTATAAATATGGGTGTTCCCGTATTGACTGCACTAACCTGTAGTATTGCCAGACATTTCTATGATGCATTTGCACTCCTTGGCGATCTCCCGCGAGTTGAAGGGGCGGACCCGCACCGCCACCTTCACTGACGACATGGCTGAAGCTGCTCGTCGCCTCTGTCTCTAGCACATCGGTACTATTGCTGATTGACACCTGCACACAAAAAGACACAGCATCAGTAACATTGGAAAAAATTAAGAAAATCGAAGACTCATGATATGCAACCTCCTTCCAAACTTAACCGATGATTGCGTAAGACCGGTGGAGATGTGTAGCGTTTTAATTTAACTTTAGTTGATTAATATCAAGATTTAGTTACATTTAACATGCCTGATTTATTATTCGTATTATAAAAAAAACTTAAATGCAAAGAATATCGCAAATAAGGTCAAGTATCACATACCACGCACAAAAGAAACGACAAATAACGCGTAAACTTGGGGTACGAAATGAGAACAGATTCACCAAATGCAAGAGCTTAAGAAGACTCCAACCTTATTATTATTACTGAAGAATAAACAATTACAAGGCAATGTTATTTGAAATAACTTACAAAAATATCAACGCTTTATTCGGATTATTCTGGTGTATTGGCTAACTGGTCTAACATTTTCAGGTCATTCTATGAGTCATGCGAAAATATCGTTGCAAAAAAACACCGGCATTATTACCGCTTGAGAGGCAATCAAGTATCTTGTTGGATATTGCGTAGTTTGTTTGGAGCGGACTACCGTTAGCCCGAATGTCGGCTGCCGCGGCTCGCTGAACAGACGGCGCACAGGCGGCGCACAAACGGTAGTGCGCGCGCGCCCGTCAGCTGTTTCGTATGGACAAAGGCCACCGCGAATCGATTTTATGTTCAATCGAGTAGGTACTGACACATTTAATTAATCGATGTGTGTACACGATCATGCGAAATCGCTTTAATAATTCCTCACCAAACTATTTAATTACAATTTTCACGGCACGACGACGGCACAATAATTAAACGAAACACTTATTCTACTTGAAACGATTGAAATGGTATGATATTGGTATTTTTAAACGCCACTTTCACAATATAAAATTCACACGATATCCATATTAAAAGCGTATTTAAGCACGGAGAGGAATTTGGAGCGCATACTACGGAGCATAAAGCGGAGCACGGATGTTCGAGACCCGAGGTTCACGTACAAAATGGTGAATGTGCTCCTGAAACCGATCCTCGCGTGCGGCGCTCGCTTGCGGTCGACTGAACACGGCGTCGAAAGTAGCGGCTGCCACGGCCGGTGCACTCCTCGCTTACGTAACATGCACTGCAACCTACATCTTCCGTTCGAAAATCCACGAGATCGAAGATCCGCTGGAAATGTGTCGCAGCAGAGATGACTCACCGCGCCCCTAGCGCCCTCTAGCACCCCAGTCGCGGCGACGTCCGGGAACAGCGCGTTAACCTTGAGAATGCATTCGATGCGGCGATCGATGGTGACGAATACGGCTGCGGACTTACCCCGGTCTCCGTGGGACGAGGGTGAGGATCGCGCGTACGTCGTTTGTTATTCGAAGGTTTGAGAGCTGATCGCTGAGGTCAGGTCGCAGCCTCAGCCGGCATGGTGTCGCGGCGGGTAGCGCGATGCGACTGCGGGGAGTAGGCGGCGGGAACGGCGACGGCGCGGCGGCGAGGGCGAAGGCGCGCGCACGCGTACTCAGCCCCGAGGCTTCGATCCTCGGCGCCGCCGGCGGGCTGCGCCGCTCGGGCCGCGCATCCGCCACCGCAAATAACGTTAGCGACTCCACACGGCCATTTCGAGAACCCCGAGAGCCGACTACGGTTGAATCGACTCTAATTACAAGATTGAAACGGTTTTTCATTGACGCTTTTCGCCGCAAGACGTGGGAACCGTTTGACGCCCGGGAGCCTTTGACGAATTCAACGTCCATTTTATTTATCGTCACTGCACCCACTACTTTAATTGAAATAAGTAAATCGTTAGAATTTCATCATATTCTGCGTAGAAAACGTCCATTATTCATTTAGATATTGCAAAACAGACTTAATGTTAATTAAGTCACAAAATATGAATAAACTGACGTCATGAAATTTGTTTCATTTCAATTTCAAGTTTCAAGAGAATAACATGCAAATAAGCGCTTGCCACACCAATCATGAATCAATATTCTATTGTGCTCCAATAGATATGCACAACATATTGCATCACAAACATCTAGTTCTCTGTTTCAATTGAAACGAGTACAAAATATACAAACGAGCTTTATTATCTAGTTCCCAACTATTAGCGACGATATACTGTGAACTAGTTTTCGAGAAACTTTTTAACAATCGATAGCATTCGTTCGTGTAAACATAGAAATTTAAGAATTCAAAGTAAGACAAGAAGTCGTATTACAATTTTATACATATTAATAACATTATCATCTAAAGCATAAAACTATGATTATAAACTTACTTAGGTCAAAGAACTACACAAACAAAATAACCCACTAGTCCTGAGTCTGATGACGTAATTGCCTAGTATTGATTGCCCACCGGATTAGAGCCCTTCAGCACGACATACCTTACTACATACTTTGTTATATAGACGTATGTACGTTTATTAGAATTATTGGTATATTAGCAAGCAATAAAAAGCGCAAAGGCCACTTGAATTCGCCGAAGTGACGAAGCGATCTACCCAAAGGCATCTGAAATTGAAGATGTCTAACGATCGACGAAGGAGCAAATAAATCTTACTAAAATTATAAATGCGAATGTTTGGATGGATGGATGTTTGTTTGAAGGTATTTCCAAAACGGCTTAACGGATCTTGATGATATTTGTCATACATATAGAACATAGTCTGAAAGAACACATAGACTACTTATGCTAGGCTAATTGTTTTTTTTAATTCCTCCTTCAATTTAATAAATATATTGTTCTAAATAATAAATCTACTATTTATGCTTGTCACAATATCATTGTTAGAGAAAAGTAGCTTCGCATTCAACATTGAAAAATGCCCGCCTACACAACTCCGATCAGTCTGAATACAAAAGAATTGTCGTTCATTTTTCTTATCCCTAACAAAATGGGCTATTGTACAATGAAATCCAATACTTCTAGTTATCTAATGGAATATATCTAGAATTATATTGATTATTTTCAAATTAAAACGTATTATAAACAGCCGTATCTTACTAATCCTACTAATATTATAAATGCGAATTTTTTGATATATGGATAGATGGTACATCCATGTTTGTTGGAAGTTATCTCCGATAAGGCTGCATGGATCTCGCTGAAATTTGGAATAGATATAGAGCATAGTGTGGAAGAACACATAGGCTACTTATTTTTTTTATTTGTTTTTAATCCCGCGCGGACGGAGTCACGGGCGACAGCTAATATTTAATAAGATACGGTCGTGGTTCACAAGGGAAATGCTTCAGGGATATTGATATCAATTTAAACGGTTCGTTGGGCGTTATAGAAGCAAACTCTTATTCGTACCGCATTTGTTAAATTGCCTCATAGCCACCCAACACAGCATGAAAATGCTATAAAAACTGTTTACGAAGGGTCTGCAGTACCTACTCATAACGGATACCGATGATGTCTTAAGAAAAAATCAGGCAGAGAAATTTTGTTAATATTTTCCTCAAGTATTTTATACTTCCTTAATCCTCTTCTTTACCTTTTTTAACCCTTGTAACTTGCTTGATATAGTAATTTACTTATGTGATTTCCTGTAGGAAAAATGGCTTTACCGATTTTGTATTAGACTGACATTCGATAAATCTAATTGTTTGTTTATTTATAAGGTTCCGTACCTCATAGGAAAAAAATCGAAACCCTTATAGGATCACTTAGTTGACCGTCCGTCTGTCTGTCAAGACCATTTTTTCTCACAAAAGTGTAAAGGTATCAAGCTGGAATTTATTTTATTATATACCAGTTTTAGAAGATATTTAGTTTTGAAAATGTTACATATATTCAATTTAATGGATAATTCTATTTTTAATTGGAAATTGTACATTTTTTATAAGTTAAATGAAATATAATAGTCGTGATGACTTGCGTATTGCGATATCTACTATATCATAATCATCTCATGTCCGTAAATAATTAAAAATATTATTAAACAATATAAATTATCTAATGATAAGAGACATACATTTTTTAGGAAATATTCGTAATAAATTAGCAAATATAAAGGTGTTATTATTACATCTACTTTACGGCTTTACGGCTAAACACTCACGTATAATCGTCCGGTGGCGGCACCGACTAGTTTCGAGCCCATCGGGGGCCCTTCATCAGGATGAGTGGTACTGGTATTATTTCGCGGACGCGGCCCTCAGCTCACTCTCACTGTGTATTGTATACATTATTATCAATAGTTACTATTAGTCTGTAATATGTAATTGAATGTAATATGTGTCTTTGGAAACATTGGTATTTTTGTCAATAGCATTTATCTACATCTTACTACTCTACTTTTTTTTTCATCATAAGGTGGCAAACGAGCGAGCGGCCACCTGATATCGCTGAAATAGCAAAGTGACCGTTGCCCATAGACATACGCAATTGCATATGAGTTGCCTACCTTTAATCGATGGAGGAGAGGATGCACAGAAAGAAAATATATTCTCTTTCCATGCATCCTCTCATCCGGAAAGTCCACTTCCACTTCCCATCCTTTTCTTATAAGAAAAAGGGTGGGAAGGGAAAGAAGACTAAATTAGGCCTCCGGGACGCACACTCATCAGACGAAACGCGGAATTTCTTCCACTTCACGCCTGTCTTCTGTATGGTCGTGGTATTTCGCCGGGCGAGCCGGGCCAAGTCGTGCGAAGATGTTAAAGCGGGCTCTACCACTGTTAAACTCTCTACTACACTAATATTGTAAATACGAATGTTTGGATGGATGGATAGAAGTTTGTTCGAAGGTTAGGTTTGGTTTAAACTCTAGAACGGCTTTGGCATAGATGTAGAACATAGTCTGCGAAAACACATCGGCTACTTATTAAGTTTTTCTCCGCGCTGACGGAGTCGTAGTCGAAGATATTGTGAATAGTTCAATATCTTAGTTATAGATGTTAAGAATATAGACAGGAATTTAGGCAATATTTCAAGACACCAGTAAACGTGTTTAAGAACAAATAATTCGGAGACAAAATGAATACTTATCGTGACGCTGCTAAAATTTTGATATCTTTTAATTTAAATAGTAACGATGATATTGCAAAAAAAACAGCTGACTTTATGCTTAGTCCTTGGACTATGAACATTTCTATATCAATCAGGTGACATCCGGTGTAGTTAAGTAAAATCGATATCTTGTGTCGGAAGCCAAGATCCACTTTGGATCGCTATGACAGCGGAGTAATATGAAAAATATGTCCATCATAATTCAAGACTACCTATATAGAAACGAGAGGTCAAACACTATTTCCATTAATGATAAAAAATAATGCCAAGGACATAAATGGATGAGTGACTCATCGAACGAGAGATACTATCAGGTGGCCTGTATTCTTGTTTATTAAGTCATGTTTTCATGATGGTAAAAAATAACTCTAGACAAAACTGCTGTACTAGCTGACATCTGGATTACTAGCTGTCGCCCGATACTCCGTCCGCACGGAATTAAAAAAAAGTCAAAAAGTACCATATGTGCTCTTCCAGGCTATGTTTTTTCCAAATTTTATCAAAATCCATTGAGCTGTTCCGGAGATACCTTCAAACAAACATCCATCAATCCATCCAAACATTCGCATTTATAATATTAATAAGATGTGTTACTTAAATTTTACTTATATTATAAATGCGAATATCCAGAACGGCTGCACGGATCTTGCTGAAATTTGAAATATATGTACAAAAATATCCATTTAATAGTTTCCAAATACGCGGTACAGTTGTTTTTCTTGGATTCAATTTCAAAGGTATGGTATTATAAAATGTCATAAATGGCAAAAGTGCAACTCATATAGCGCGCCTCTTTATCAATAACATTAAAAAATGGTATCAAAGTCAGCATTAGATCTACTTAACTAGCTTACATAGGGGACATAATTATGTTCAAAATTGGCAACTAAATTAAACTCGTGAAAAGTAATAAAACTAAAGTTCCAAGTGAGCTAAAAAGTATACTAAGAAAACCTAGGTCCAATAATAATTTTCTGGATTATTCTACAAAGTCGTAGCAATTCTCGACGGGTTTAACGGCAAATATCGTTATGAAATTGATGTTGAACATTGAGATGTAGCTCGGCCGCTCCGCTGGGAGTAACTTCGTAAAACATCTGTATATTGCTTTGCCAACCTTCATCACCAGCTCACTATACGTCCTCACTGAGGGGCTCGAAGCCTTCACTAAGTTAGGGGTGACTACGCCATAGTCAACCAAGCTATTTCAGTGCGTGTTGAGTGACTTCACACATATCTTTGAATTTTTAGCAGATATGTGCAGAGTGCATCACGATGTTTTTCTTCACAGTAAGAACGTCGGATAAATGTACATATGTAAATCGAAAAACACATTGGTACATGGCGGGATTCGAACCCAGGACCTGCAGATTACAAGTCAAGTGCTGAGCTTGAGCCACCGACGCTCTTATTATTATTATTGCCAAACTTAGGTTTATCAAAAAGGTCACACAATTAGTTATATAAAACTACAGGATGTCTCACATATGGATTAAAAAGCAATAACTATTCAACAGAGAAAGTTCTAGCAAAGGACGCTTCTAATCAAGATTAACCGACGATCTAATTTGTCGCAAGCTGGTTTAGGGATTTATTTACTGCAAGATCCTGCTGAATAAGTAATCTACGTTTAGCTACACTAAAGTTGTTTACGCGATATCCAATACTTATTTAAGATATATAAATAAACATGATGTATTTGTTTTTAAGGTTAAACGAAAAATCAATTTAAAAAATTTGGCTTTCCATCCACAAATCAGTGTTTGTTCCGGGTAATCTCTAAAACGGCTGAATCGAAATTTATGCGACTTTTATTGGAAGGAATGGGAAAGTAACTTAGGTTACTTTAGTTTTGTTTTTAATTCTACGCCAGCTTAATCGCGGTCGATTGCTAGTATGTTTTAAAAAGTGGAGTCTTGCGTTTGAGGGCAAGTAGAGAGTTTGAGATGGTTGATGGTCACTAAATAGTTTTTGTGTGTTGTGTTAGTTATAGAAACCTACACTAAGCGACTGCGTAACATTCAAATTACTTTGAGTGTAGCACTTAGGTACAAACTTACAACAACAGAATAAGTGAATAAGATAGTAAAATCTTGAGTAAATATCCTAATTAGATATGTTAGAAGCTTAGCTAAGTCGGTGGTTACGTAGAAATTATCAGAGCGGCCATCAAAGGGAAGGTGACCGACAAGGTTACGGCCTCAACACGAGACATATTTACATGCCCGCCCAGCTTTTTGCTTTTTAGTGTATATGCTATAATTATTATAACTGTTGAGTTTTTGTAATAATTTTTCAATATAAAAATATCCTTACTAATATTATAAATGCGAAAGTAACTCTGTCTGTTCTTCTTTTACTGAACCGATTTAAATGAAAATTGGTACACAGTCTAGAGCCTGGGAAAGGACAAAGTTAAAGCTATAAGGGGTCGAATAGTAGGTTTCGAAATTTGTATGGAAGTACCGTGATTTTTACAGATAGAAACTTATAACTTATTTTTTAGATTGTTAATTTGATAAAAATAAATATGACATTAATGAAATTAAGTCAAAGAAAATGATGATTGTGTTTTACTGAATTGAAATGAAGGCTTTTAATACATTTGATTGTGTAAACAGGTAACGAGCTGCGCGCCGAGAACAGTGCGAGCGGGAAAGGTCAGAGCGTCATAAGAGCAATCAATATAGAGAACACATCGACATTACTGCGCAGAAAGACCTACATAATTCATTTTACTAAAGACCATCTGAAATATTTTATTTCTTTTATAAAACAAAGTAAAAGAAATTGGGATTGAAAATTAGACAAAGTTATTAATTAAATAGTTTTATTTCATTGATTTTATTATTTACAATGCAACGCCGCATTGCTAATATAAATGCGAATGTTTAGATGGATTGATGGATGGATGTTTGTTTGAAGGCATCTCCAGAACGGCTGAACGGATCTCAATGAAATTTAGTATAGAACACATAGGCTACTAATTACTTTTTTAAATTCCGCGCAGACGTACCGCGTACAGCAAGTTTGTTTATAGAAGTGGGGATTTTTACGTTATCAATTTTAACCGGACATAACAAAATTACATCAACGATCCCCAATCGCTGACTACTGGTTTTCTCCTAAGGGATTTTCTTCAAACAGGCTTTGTATTTTATATTTCTTACATTAAATCGTGAATGACGAAGCAATTATTAGGATGTTTTATGCAATTTATTTTATTTTACGAGTCATCATTACAAGATATAAATTGTTACCAACTCTATTTAGTATGTTACAGAAACAAAATCTCATTTACAGGGTGTTTCTTAAAAGATATATCAAAATCTTTGTATAGTTTGAGGACCTCAATATCTATCGTTTAAATCCAAAGTATGTTCCACTATTTTCAATTGTTTCGAATGTTTGGACGTGCGTCCAAAATATTGTTAGGTGTTATTTTTTTTGAGCAAGTCTACTTTTCGTTCTTCTATTTAAAAAAAAATCTGCACAAGTGTGAAGATTAAAACTTAAAAATTTTATACACCTTGTATTTATTTTTCATGTATAAAAATATGAAATAAGATAGCTTTAGGCAAGAATCACTAAGTTTTAGTACTAATATATGAAAATCTTTATATATATATATATATATATATATATATATATATATATATATATATATATATATATATATATATATAATTCTTCTGTGAGTGTGTATGTCACTGAACTTCTCTCAAACGACTGGACCGATTTTGATGAATTTTTTTGTGTGTGTTCAAGGGGATCTGGGAATGGTTTAGATTCACAATTTTCATCAAATATTAACTTCATATTAATTTATTCAAATTAAATACGTGTAGACAGGACAACGTCTGTAGGGTCCGCTAGTATATTTATAAAGTAATTAGAAAAAAAAATTAAAAAATCTTATTTGTTCTAAAATTTTTTGTATTACGTTACAAGCAGACGCTCAGACTTTAATTATCAGTATAGATATAGATAATCGATGTAAGGGCTATCGTTGCCGCAAAATTTTCTTCAAATTTGCCGTTACGTGCGAAACGTGAAGCTTATCGTAATAATATCGACTAGCAGTTGCCCGCGTCTTGTACGGCGTGGATTAAAAAAAAAAGTAGCCTACTACTAAGGATGAAACCCGCAGACAGTGTAGCTTCCCAACAGTAAAAGATTTTTTTTTAATCGGTTCAGTAGTTTCAGGGCCTAATCATTACAAACAAACAAACAATCAAATCTTTTTTCTTTATAACATTTGAATAGATAACAAACCGCATGCGTAACTACGAGCATATAAATATTTAACACTGTCGAACTACAAGTCATTTGAGACGAGAAGCTCAACGTCTAACTGAACCAAGATGGCCGCTAAGTGGGACGCGAGAAACAAAAATGTACTAATAACTGGCGCTGCTTCAGGCCTAGGTGCCGCTTATGCTGAAGCTTTATTAAAAGAAGGCGCAAAGGTAATTAAGTTTAATTGAGCTTTTTTATTACCCGACTGACTCAATAGGGTCATATTTTTCGTGCATATTTAAATTTTTATGTGTTTTTTGTAACCGCCTATCAACTAAATGTCTGAAGTTTTGAATAAGTTTGGTATCAATCGATTCGTATTCTTCCCCTGAGTGTTGCAGCATTAGTCGGATTTAAGTCAGGAATATATATTTTTTTTATTTCATACTGGCAGTCGCCCGCGACTCCGTCCGCGTGGATATATAAAAACTTAATATGTAGATAAGTTATATAAAAAGCAGCTCTTCAAGGCATAAATTCGAAAAAAAATAATATCCTATGTCCGTCTCCTGGCTTTAAGCTACCTCTTCACCAATTTTCAAGCATATCGGTAAAGCCGTTCTTGAGTTATAAATAGTGTAACTAACACGACTTACTTTTATATAAATAGATTAGTCTATTTATAATGATTAGTTAATTAACGAATGCCTCTATAAATTGTCTTTTGGCTTATTATCGTTTTATTTCAGAATATTGCTGTCTTGGATATTGATGAACAGACCGGACAGAATTTCGTCTCAAAATTAAACAAGACGTACAACAATCAAGCTATTTTTGTAAAATGTGATGTTAGCAAAGAAGGAGACATAGATAGGAGTTTTAATACCGTTCTTAATAAATTTCAAAGGATAGACGTTTTGATAAACAACGCAGGTATCATGAGTGATACTGACACTATGTGGAGATTAGCTTGCGATGTTAACTGGGTAAGGAACAAAAACTTTACGTACACATACATATAAACATAATATTATCTCTCTTTATTCAAAATTCTTCCAACTTCCAATAAACAGAAGACAGGCGTGAAGTGGAAACAATTCTCGTCTGATCAGTTTTCGTGCCGAAGGCATAATTTTCCTCTATCTCTTCTCTTCATTTTCTTGTAAAGAAAGGATTGGAAGGAGTGATGGATTTAGTAGGTGACGCATAGGAATGGATATCCTATTCCTATGCGTTCCCTCCTATAGCGATTAAACGTAGGCAACGCATCTGCAAATTAGGATATTAGGTAGCGATCGATTTACTAAAGTGCTGCTTGATCGTTTGCCACCTTATACTATACGGATGTTACGTTTCGCTATAAAAAACAACAAACAGATAGCAAAACTGATAGGTGTAAATCAATAATCTAATCATAATACTTTTCATAATATTTGCGTACAAGGTGTTTTAATATATAAACTCATGACAAGATTGCAGTCTGATTACTACGGTTGTTTGTTTCCTCTTTTTACTACTTTTTCAATCGATATCTTACTAATCTTACTAATATTATAAATGCGGTGGCTCATGTGTCTTAGTTTCGAATCCTACCATGTACCAATGTATTTTTTGATATTCGATTGTCGATGGTATGTCCATCTATGCAGAAATCTTACGGTGAAGAAAATCATAGATATGTATGAAGTCAACCAAACTGCACTTGGCCAGCATGGTTGACTATGGCCTAGTCACTCCTAACTTAGGGCTGGCTGTGAGTCTCTCAATGCGAACTTATAGTGATCTGATGATGATACTACTTTTGGGATCTTAAATATTTGGCCATAACCAAACTATATAGTTATCTAATTTACTTCAGTTGAAATGATGTTAACTTTTTATTTTAATTAATTTGATGTGTTAATGTTTTAGCAAGGATTAGTGTCATTTACGATGAGGGCTGTTAAGCACATGAGGAAAGACGAAGGTGGTGTTGGAGGTACCATTGTGAACATATCGTCTACCGCAGGAATAAGTAAATTTAGCTTTTTACCAATTTACTGCGGAAGTAAAGGAGCAGTGTTGCATTTCAGCCAAAGTCTAGCGGTAAGTACTAACTAAATTTTGAAAATATATTATTTGGTTTAAATAAGAATCAAGTTGTCGATTTCTTAATTTAATTCTTATACTCCTTGGAGAATTGTTAGTAAACCTTTCATAAATGTGTTTTTAAAGCGCCTGATATTTTTGTATTTATAATTCTGTATGATGTTGCCAGTTCATATTAAAATTTAGCTGTGAATATATGAGCAGTTCATTTTCCACTTGTGAGAGAAAATTTGTGATAAATCTTACTAATATGGTTGATGTTTGTTTGGATATGGCTGAAATCTGGCATAGACGTAGAACAAAGTCTGGAGCTACATATAAGCTGCCAAATATGTTTCTTTTTAATTCCTTTAATTTATAAAAAAAATTATTTATATTCCAGAGTGCACCTTTCTACGACAACACAGGTATCCGAGTGCTAACTCTATGCCCGGGGCCCACGGCTACTAAGCTGATGGAAGGTCTTGACAATAGGATCGTTGAAACCACTAATATGGACCAGCTGCAATTTTTGAACGGCGTTCCAGTACAAAGGTTGGTGTACTAACTCAACTTTTTTCTATATAACTTGTACATTTCAAAATATATCCGTTAAAATACTTTGAACATTTAAACTTTTTGAATATTAGGTACTCTTATTATGCAATATCACATTACTATATGAGACAAGTTTTCACAAAACTACTGCAATAATTAATAATGGCCGCCAAGTATGGAAATTTGACATTTATCTCTTTACTTAATTTTGGGTTGGATTAAAACAAAATATAGGTACGCTTTTCTCGATCGACTAACAGGAATTTTCTAACCATGGGTTTCTAAGACCAAAATCACCGTTTACAATGTATAGTTATCTCTGTTTTATCAAAGATAATGATAAGGATGACGATATATTTTATGCAGAGATTTTCGTCTCATTAACCAACACTAAGTACGATTATCAAAACGGTTTGACTGTAATATTAAAAAGTGAGATATCATGAGATTTACATTCGCTAGAGTTGTCCTTTATCGCATCGCGGCCAAATCAGTTTGTCCGTGTATCACAGAGGCTCCCAAACTTATTTTGTCTACTGCCTACTTTGAGAATAAATATTTCTTTAGCGCCCCCATACTTTCACTTATTAAAAAACCACTATAACTTCAAATTAAATTAATTAATTATTGTGACCTATATATGTATAGTAACGGAGAATTCTAAACGAAACTTTTACTATAACCTGCAACTTGAGACCTGCAGCGCCCACAAGTGGGCGTTATCGCCCACTTTGGGAAAGACTGGTGTATCATGTATTTTAATATTTTTATTATTAGGTAAATATGCTGGCATTTAATTTTCTACAATAAGTATTTATCGTTTGCAGTGTTGAGTCTGCTGTGGCTGCCATGATGAAATTACTGAAGGACGGCGACAACGGATCAATCTGGCTGTCTTGTAACGACAAGCCAGTACTGGAATTAACGCCACAGATTAACAAATATTTGAATGAACTGGAAAAGTTAACGTTACCTTAATTTTTTTTATATTTTTTTTTATTATTTTAATGTAATATACCTTATGTTATATCGATGATATATGTGTATTAATGTTACAAAATAAACATTGGTTATATTCAACTTTATTCAGATAACAATTTATTCTCTTACCTTGAACAACCTAAAGTCTAACATTTGCAAAAACTCATTACAATTTTTTTGATTGTACAAAAAAGGTAGAATTTATCCTAATTTATCAAATTTAAAAGTAAATTGTAGATAAGATTATTTTTTAGAAAATATGTTAACAGTAACAGAATATATGTTAAAAAATATATATTTTTTAATAATAAATCAGTAAACAAATCGCCTATATATCTACAAATAAAAGCTACACTCAAGGATGTTGGGAAAATAGATTTTTTATGGTATATTAAAATCTTCTGTTAATAAACTGTTTTTTGAATTGATATCTTACTAATTTTATTTTGTTACGAAGAAAATAAATCCATGACTGTGTCGGTGTACTGGTACAACACTAGCCTTACTAAAATGTCGACGTTTATGTCCCCTCACTAATCATTCTGACACTTGACATTATAATGAAAGCGCGCCATTCGCGACAAAGGATTCTAATTAATAATGTCTAAAAATACATAATTATGAAACTAACATAGTTAATTGTCTCTAAATTATTTACCTTAATAAAACTTCCCCCAAATATACAAAAACTTGCCCCACTTATCCTTTAATCCCCCATTTATAAAATTACGGTTAGTCAAATAGTTAGTCCAATTTCTCTCTCGGCATCAAAGGGCCAAAACTAAAATTATACAATGCGTTAGTATTCATGAAAACAAATGTATTCATAAAACGTCTCTTGATGTCTGGCATTGTATAATTTGAGATATCTTTGCATAAGTAAAGTAAAAGCAACATAATGTTTTACACGAGTCTAATAATTTCATTTTAATATTTCTCGAAGGATATTTTCGTAAGATACATTAGATTTTTAATCTACAATTTCAAGACTTGAGTAAAAATTCCATCGCCTAATTTTTTTATAGCAAAAGGAGCAACTAATTCGTTTTTAATTATAACTCCAAGGATCAAGTCTAATCAGTTATTGATATTGTTTTCAATAATTGTTAAAATCTCTTTTGAATGAATTCTCTTTGCTCTGATATCAACGATTCCAAAGAACTAAAACAAAGCATTGTTAATGTACAGGTAAAAAAGGTACATATAAAATAAACGTCTACTTTGTCTTTGAAATTCAAAGAGAAAAGAGATTTATTGTGAAACATGAATCGTTCACATCGATTGGCAGGCGACGTCCGCCATTGGTCCATCGTCGTGACGTCACGTATCGACCCGCACCCGCCCGCGCACGCATGCGCGCCCAACAACAGCTCGCACGCCATTGGTCGGACGCATTAAACCTAGACATTGTTTTGAAGCGATACATTAGTTTACAAATATGGCTGAAAATGTCACAAGTACTCTCGAATTTTCTATATCGGCATTTTTAAAAGCACAATTTTATGAGTAATAGTATAATATAATAGACAGATAATTAAAATAAAGCCACCATTTTGACGAATCAATTTCTTACTTAACTATGGAAAATGCTTGGTAAAACAATTAGTCTGCAACCGGTAACTCTCTACTAGTACAAAGTAATTTAATAAAGTACAGGAAATTCACGGGAAACCCTGTTACCGTAAAAGCTTTCTGTAAGCTTACCTTAAAATAACCAAATATTATACTTGCGTCTTTTGTTATCTCTATTTTTCCAAAGGGAATGAAAGGGATGAAGTAAATTTGTATTTCCGTACAGATGTGAATGGTTACAGCTTACCATTAAATTTTACGTAACACGATTGCTTTTCATATAAACAAAAAGAGTGGATCTTCAATAATCAGATAACTACAAATACGGGAACTAACATTATCAAAGGCCGAATCATTTTCATTAACACCCGCACAACATGTTAATGATAAATATTGATCCTACATCCATTGTCGAATTGTCACTAATATATACATATTAATAAAATTGGAGTGTCAGTTTATAACACATAAAAGCAAGAAAAGTCATATTTCCTACGATGTATTTGCGTTGCTGATGATCGCTGGATTATTAATACTTTTTTTTAATTCGAAGTCGAGGGCGATTGCTAGTCATTAATAAAGATCTTACTAATATTATAAATGCGAAAATTTGGATGGATTGATGGATGTTTGTTTGAAAGAACAGAACGGCTGCATGGATCGCGCCGTATTTTGGCATAGATGTAGAACATAGGCTGGAAGAACACAGACTACTTAGGAAGTTTATTTTACTTCCGCGCGCACAGAGTCGTGGGCAATAGCTAGTAAAAAGATATCTGAAGGATACCTAAAACCTAGACATAAGTTCAGTTTTAAAAATTAATATCGTTTAAAATGTGCATCAGTTCATTTAAAAAAAATAAGCAACAGGATTAATAGTGAATATCTTAAAATGCTACAAAAATCTTCATATATTTATATCGCATCCTGAATGCGTGAAATAAAAATAATTTCTTGTTTCTGAAACAGTGATTTTATTGAAGTTATAAAATTACTGTATTGACGTCACAACTTCGTACGCACAAGCGTTAAGGCTAATAATTTTACCTATATGAAGGCAATAAATTCAATTTTTCACAAGCCTGTTCTAACAAACAAGCTATGAATATGAAATCAGGACAAAGTAATTAAATAGATATTGTCTCTTCATTGTGTTTTTACATTTATTAAAGAAAAGCCGTCGCCCGCGATTCTGTCCGTGTGGAATTAAAAGAACCTTAATAAGTAGCCTATGAGTTCGTCCTGACTATGTTCTACATCTATGCCAAATTTCATCAAGATCTATTGAGCTGTTCCGGATATACCTTCTAAGAAACATCCATCCATCTAAATTTTCTCATTTATAATATTAGTAATATAAGATAGGAATGTTTTTCTTCTATTGATATAGTGAAATACATATAGAAAAATAACAACGTAAAAGCGATTAAATGAACTGAAAGTTGCGTCCAACTGAATAGTTAATATGACTTAGTTAAAATAGTTATAGTAAATATCCAACAGTAGATAAAGGAATTTGGCTTGAATCCATAGTTTTCAAGTCGAATGACTTTATTTGTACTTGGCACTGAATCCGTTTATATTCAGTGATTCATATTCAAACTTACAAACATGTTTTTAAATATATTCACTAGTCATCAGTCATTTAAACATATTGATTTTAATATCCTTTTTATTATAACTATGAACTTTGCCATAACTAATAATATAAACATTATGAAAAAATCTCCCCATTTTACAGTATCGCGTCTAGACTAAAAACAGGTCTTCAACCTTTTTCTTAATTTCACCGTATTCAGACTTACATGTTTAAGTATAGATTCTTTAGATAAACTCTTTGAATAAAACACAGCGCTCCCGATTGCACATGCATCTAGAATTTTCCTTCCATATCAATATATTTTTTGTCTTCAAAACAAGACAAGTTAATCAAACGTGTTATATTGCAACATTTATGTGTGCTTTATGCGTTTTTATACTAGCTGTCGAACGCAACTCTATCCGAAAGAAATTAAAAAAACTTATTTAATAGCTTGTGTTCTACATATATGCCAAATTACAGCTAGATTCATGCAGCCGTTCTGGAGATACTTCCAAAGAAACATCCATCTAAGCATTCGCATTTATAATATTATTAAGATTATTCCAGGTCTATCCGTAATAAATATAATGTTATCAGAATATCCTTATCATAATACTAAGGCTGTTTTTGAATCAATTCTATCTTACATAATTGATATTTCTTTGCGTTCAAAATACAAAAAAAAAAACTTTAAATATCAAAGCTTTATATTTACAACTAACAATTGGGCAATATTTTGTTGTTTATTTATTTGATTGCGTGGCGCAAAATATTCGCAAGCTTGTTGTGAACAATTCCCCAGAGGTGCAGAATACATGGTGCGTACAATTTATATTTCGTCTTCTAATCTCTCTCTTGTGAGCTGGTAACCCGTCTGAATAAGTAATGTATCCTCTTATATAAGAACATTTTAGTTATATAATTTCAAAGATCACAAATTACCGTGGGTTACCACTGCCGAATGATCATTACAAAAACCGAATATTGTTAATGTGGGCTGACAATATATTTAAAGTGAAGTTCCAACAGTGAAAGCCCACAGGTACTGAAAAATAGAACATGTAGACAAAGTTCATGAATTTATTTTTCTTTACAACTACACTGCTGCAACATTTTCAGATACACCGGGAAATGGAAGCTAAGAAAATTCACCGTGACTTGCAACTTTATTTCTCTTACGTATCAAACTGTAGACGGAGAGCAAACACGTCCCCGGACGCTACGTTGCCTTTGTTTATGTGCTGCAGCTACGACTACATGACGAAGCGAGTGAAATATGTAGGCAAGTCGGTCGATGCCCCCACATGGACTGACGTCGCCCTACACTATAGACCAGTACAGCAATGTAATAACCAGAGTAACAAAACTCTCAGTAACATTTATATAGACTATCATCATCAGTTCACTATACGTCCCCGCTAGAGGGCTTGCACCTAAGTTAGGGGTGACCAGGCCATAGTCAACCATGCTGGCCAAGTGAGGGTTGGTTGACTTCACACATATCTTTGAATTTCTTCACAGATATGTGCAGGTTTCATCACGATGTGAAGGATGTGAAGGAAAACATTTTTTCACAGTAAGAACGCTGGATAAATGTACATATCGAGAATCGAAAACACATTGATACATGGCGGGATTCTAACCTTGGGCACCAGGTCTAATAATAAGATCAACAAAAAATCTCATAATCTTGTCAGCATTCGAGTAATTGTCATTTAAAATCTATTTCCACTAAATAGTTAGTATTTTCAGTAGAATTGTGTTTTAACAGCTCGAAGTAGTATAACTAAGGCCATATCTAGTTTCAGTAAATGTTTTCATCGTCCAGTCTTACAGAAATAAATTCCCGATAAACAAGTAACAGTTCGATTCAATAATTCCCGTTTGCTCGTGATAGCGCCTTTCAGTAGACGCTTCATACATTTTTAATGTTCCCCTATCGCCACTCCT